AAATTAGAAACATCTTCTCCAAAAATGATGCAGAAAAACTGGTTCATGCATTTGTCACGTCTAGACTGGACTATTGCAATGGTTTATTATCTGGGTGTCCAAATACGTCTTTAAAAAGTCTTCGGTTGATCCAAAATGCTGCTGCCAGAGTCTTAACTGGAGTTAGTAGGAGAGATCATATTTCTTCAGTCTTAGCTTCTCTCCACTGGCTCCCTGTCAAATCCAGAATAGAATTCAAAATCTTACTTCTAAACTACAAAGCTCTCAACAACCTAGCTCCATCTTATATTAGAAATATTATTGTTCCATATTTTCCTAACAGAGCACTTCGCTCTCAGACTGCAGGTTTACTTGTGGTTCCTAGAATTGACAAAAGCAGAATTGGAGGAAGATCTTTCAGTCTCAGGCTCCTCTCTTGTGGAACCAACTTCCAGTTTCTGTCTGTGAGGCTGACACATTGTTCAGTTTTAAGGCTGGGCTTAAGACTTTTCTTTTTGATAAATCCTATAGTTAGTTTTGGCTTGTTACGCTGCTATAGGCTTTGACTACTAGAGGACAAATTGACCTCAATTCCTTAAATGATTTGCTAAAATTGCATAGTTTTCATTCGATACTATTTCTATCTTAACATGTGATTCTTGACCTGCCATTGTGTATCTGTTCCTCTCAGACCCAGCCGGTCGAAGCAGAGGACCGCTTGTCCTGAGCCTGGTTCTGCTAAAGGTTTCTTCCTTATGAAAGTTTTTCCTTTCCACCATTGCCTTCATGCTTGTTCAAGATGAGAGTTCTGTGATGGAGTTAAATTCAAAGCAGTCTGCTCCTCACATAAATAGTGTTAAATTATCATTTTTATATATGAATGTTTCTGTTCAGTGCCCTGAGACGACTTCTGTTGTGACTTGCTGCTATATAAATAAATTAAATTGAATTGATTGTCGGGGGTAGTGGTGGCACAGAGGCATGAGAAGATGGGCTTGTGATCGGAAAGTCACAAGTTCAACTCCCGGTACAGTCAACATCAAAATGTGGGTGGAAAAGGTAAAGCACCCATACATGCCACCACCCTAATTTGCCCCACCCTGGGCCCCTGAGCAAAGCCCTCAACACCCACCATTTGCTCCCAAAAGCAGGTCTCTCTTGAAAATGTGTTCTCGTGACTCAATGAGATACCTGCATAAATAATGGGTAAATGAAAGAAAAAAATTGATTGGCACCCTTAATTATTGTTGGCCAAATTAGTTTTCTTTCTCTTTTCAAGGAGACCCTTAACATCACTGTTGAATTTAACCTAAAACAACCTCAACAAAAGAGGTAGAAACATCTTTTATTCCACTTTGGTATAAGACAAAAGTGACAGACACTGGTTTAAGCATAACGACGGAGCTGGGTGTGAAAGAGAGCATCCTACAAGGCAGCGGTGAGATTGTCCGTGTCCTCTGGCTTTCAGTGAAAAGCTCAATTGTTCTTTGGAAAAACAAAAGAGCTTCTTTGTGTACAAACACAACAGGCAGAGGCTTCCCTTTCAGCAGACCTCTGCTGAAACCATTCAAACAGGCCTCTGAATAAATGCCGTCACTCTTCCTCGCACACACAAATTTCTCCCTGTGTTTCTATTTGTCCTCTCCTTCACCCCCTCCTCACTAACAAACAGAGAGCCAAGTTCTCATGGGGGTGGGGGGAAGAAAGCTGCACGGCTCCACTCAGCAGAAACAGACACTTTGGACCCTTCACAGCCAAACTTTTCCTCTTTAATGGACTTGCCCAAGTCTTTTAAGACCCCACTAGAAAAAAAGGAGCTGGTATTTCACTGACACACCTGGTTCTGCATCCCAATACCCCGACCCTTCCTCCTCCTGCCCTCTGCAAATCCACAGGGTCAAAGAATGACTTTATTAGGCCCTGTGGCAGAGGAATATTATCCACATTTTGTTTACCAACTGCTGTGCATTTCTTGACCTGGGTTCAGATATGCATTATTAATCTCTGTAGCAAGGTTCCTCATCAGCTCCTCACAACATGACCGCATCCAGCAGTTCTCAAACTGGGGTCCTTGGATCCCCGGGGGTCTGCGAGCCGGTGCTTGGGGATCCGCAAAAAAAATAAACAAATTTAAAATATATATACTGTATATATATATATTTTTTTTATTTATTTATTCATTACAAGCACGTAGATGTTTAATAACCCATTAAAATATACCAAAATATAGAAAATCATATCTACTTTATTCAAAATTCCTCCCCCCCCCACCCCCCATTCATCAGTTTACAAATGAAGCCATTACTTTGACTACAGCTGTGATGATTCTGTTGTTTTATGTGGTTTTTTGTAATAATTTGAAGCAGTGGCAATACTTTTATTATGTTCATTGCATGAATAGGTAAAGTTTTAAAGTGGTGTTTGACACTGTTAATTTGATCAAAACTGTCATTTTTGGAAGTTGAAATTAAACGTTTTGTTAATTGTGTCTTGATACCCCATGCCTAAAATTGTATTAACACTATTAAAGAACAGGTTTTAAGTTTTTATGTTACACAAATATTTTCATGGCATTAAAAAGAGACAAACTGAAGACAATTTAATAAACATGAGGGTTTGAAACGTTTTCTCCCATGTAAGAGTCCCTGAACCCAGAAAGTCTGAGAACCCCTGATCTAAAGGTCTCATCCAAGTCAGAATTAGGATTTTATTTACAATGTTTATTTAAAGATTCAAGTCGCTTTATTCAATAAATTATGCAAACACCTTATAAAGCATTAACACTCATTTAAAAATACTGTACTGAAACAGACTGGCAAGATTATATTTTTATTCATCTTCTCTATATTTTACATTTAAGACATGTAAATTTTAACTCAGCTTGAAAAGTTGGTTTTACTGTTTTTAATTTTAACAGTTCATTACTTTTACAGTTTTTGTTGATTTTATAGTTTTTTTTTATGCTTGCTTGTGTTAGTGTACAGCACTTTGGCAAACGGTGTTGTTTGTAAAGTGCTTTATAAATAAAATTGTATTGTATTCATTTATCAAGCATTTGTCATGCAAGTCTTGAGAATTTGTAAATACAAATCTTGTCTTTGCATATACTTATTTAGTTAAAATAAAAAGCTGAGAAACTAGCGTTAAATGACATTAACGTAAATGAATAAAAGAACAGCTCAATTTTACGAAACGGTGAAGCCACCTCAATGTGTAGTGCTAATAACTGTTTTATAAATGCTTTATAGTGTTTACAAACTGATGATTCATCTAAAACGTCTCGCATATTTAGAACTTTAGTATCACCACATAAACAAAACACACAAATGGGTTACAACCTTTATTTACTAATAAATACAACGGCTGACAAATAGTCAGCAGCCAGCGAGCACATCCTCGTCAACGCACCCAATTTTGTCTAAATATTTGATATTTAGAGAAAAAACTATTACCGGTATACATAAATGCATTTTAAACACATGTAACTTGTTGAATTTAAACAGGTTTATATTTCCATTTCTATTCCCTGCATTGCTGTTGTGTCAGTTTCAATCTTCTGTTGACTTTTTTTTACCCTCGTTGGTCAAGTGCGACAAAGGAAATCTAGGAAATCTCTGAATGTGAAAACTATTACTTCAATGAAGCACGACACCCGGATGCTGAAATAGATAAATCCTCTCTCATCCCATTCTTATGCATGTAAACATGTTTATGATGTAAAGCTTGTACATTTGATAAGGCAGTGAAACCTAACATTTGGTCATATTTATTCTCCAATCGTCATTAAGAGCACAAATGTGTCCGGCACGTGAATCTTTCACCTAATCAACGAGATCAAAACTCAATTTTATTTAAATAAATTAAAAAATTCTTAGTAAAACAGGCTATTTAATGTTTGCAAAATGTGATTCGTGGAAACTGAAAGACACCAAAACAATGAACAGATTAAACATTTTAATAAGAACACTTAAGTAAAAAAAAAGTTTTTTTTTTTTTCAAAACTAGGATTTTGAGTTACATTAATAACGCATTGTCACAGATATGCCACAAGTACACATTAAAAACAGCTTTTATACGAGGGGATGTGTGTGTTTGTCTACTATCACACACACAGTCACAAGTCATCTTAAACAATGACCAAGATTAGGGGTTATTTCTTTTTTTGTTACCCAAAACAGGGTTTACATCAACCTTTATTAAAAATTAAGACCCATAACCAGCTGACAGTACAACCATTCATCTAATACTGTAGATGTTCAAGCTGCGAGCACGAGAACCCAACAAAAACAATAAAATTCATAACTTTTCTTCGCATTCCCTTAAAAAAATGTTCAATTAAAATCCAGCATCTCCAGAACATGGTTCGAGCTCTATCCGGTAAGGTTCACAGCCTGACAGACATCAGAAGTATTCTGGCCTTATCCTACATAAGTTTGTTTGGGGGGGCTTCAGAGGATCAAAATTTTTCCAGTTTCTAAATCTGAAGGCCATCGTCCTACCTGTCAGTGAGCTTCATCTGCAGATAAACACGACAACAGACTTTATCAGTCCAAAGATTCACAGAATTCCTCAGTTGACGAGTTTTGTCATCAAAATGGAATGAAGAGAGCAGAAACTTCTAAAACTCTATTTATTTGAGAACAGTAACGTGTAGGGATGAATGGAAACGGATACAATAATACTGGACATAGTCCCCCCTAAACAGGGTCACATAGTGGCATGTAAGAAAGTGAAAACAAGTTTCAGTTCAAGGAACTTGATCCTGTGTGTGAAAACGTAGCGTCAGTACATCCTAAGACCTCAGAGTCTTTATTTACTGCAGTTTGCACCTAGCAGAAAGATCTGGAAGGAATGACCATCGACTCTTCGTGTAGCACACTTCTCGAATAAATCAATGCCGTCTGAGCTTACATCAAGAATTAATGGCATTATCCGAGACACACCAAAGAAGATAAACACACATACGTACTATTTAAAGAGGGGCAGACGGATGTTTGAAGTAAAAGAGTTATTCTGGTCAGTAACGTGCATCAGTCTCTGCAAACACTGTAGCGTCTGCAATTTCAAGTAGAGGGTAATTTATGCGTCTGTGTTTATGTTTATAAGTGCATGTGTGGTGTGTGTGTGTGCACATATGCATCAGTGCACTGTGTGTGTGTGGTGTATATTAAAATGTGAATTTGTCTTCTCTACTAAATAACCAAAGCCGGCCCAGACAGGCATTATTTTCACATTACTGAGCTACGGTTTTATTCTTCTGACATATATTTACAGGCAGATAACCATGGTCTTTTCTAATTAATATTCACTTTCCATTAATTTATTGTTAACACTGGAAAGAGATGCGAAAGAGGGGCCAATATATATATATATATATTTATATATATTTAAAAATGCACACAGATGTATTCAGAGATTCACAGGCCAAGCTCCTGTTTTTAACTACGCTTTGTACACTGGCAACAAAAAAAGAAGGTTCAATTATTTTGGCATCAATGCTTTGGTCACAAAATACCAACAATTTTATTATTTTGCTTTTTTTTTTATTATTTTCACGTTTGTTTTCATCAGCTCCTTTTTATAAGCAAGTCCCAGTCGTTTTACGCCCTGACCACATGTATGTCCCCCGTACAGAGAAAGGTAGGTTTGTTGTAGTCCTGTCATCGCACCTCCGATGCAGTCCTTTTTAAGAGGCACAGATTTTCTTATAAATTATGTGACTGTGAATGCGTGGGCAGTGGAGGGGGGGTTTGAGAAGGGGTTGCCCCCTGTGCCCCCACGTCCCCCCTCCTGCACTTCCTTTATGTGTAGTGACTACATTCGGTCACCCCTTTTGCGAGCACGTTCTGCAGCACAGCTGCTGCAGCACTCTCCTCTGGCAAAGATTGTTCCTTTTAACAAGCACGCAGAAACTACCTTCCGCCCAAGATTCTTCATTTGCTTTCCACAGAGCAGGAAGAAAAGAGACGAGGACGGGGGAGAGGTTGGAAGGAGGGAAGGGGTACAAACGTCCACACAAAACCACAAACAAATAACGGAGGGCAGAATGATTGTCAACGGTTGAATGAAAGGTAGAGTCGTGTGATTGGTCAGGAGAGGGTTCAGGTGACAGCAAGAACGTTTTGATCCAATCACAGGCGACGTTCATCGATGTGGAAAATCATTGGAGTCCAGCGGAGTGATTGAATCCATGTCAGGAAAAATGGGAAAAAAAAAAAAAATCAGGAGAAAACAGAGAGAGAGAGAGAGAGAGAGAGAGAGAGAGAGGAACAAATGTCACACAATTAGTAAACCAAAAGTTTTATAACACAACCTGGTGTAATTTCACCAAACAAAAAGTCTAACCGTGGACCATCAGTCTGCACAATCTTCATTTTTTTATTTATTTCTAAACAACAAATTCATTTATGGACAGCGTTTTATTTTTGTGCTGTCAATCAAACCGTCTCCACAACAAGACCTTTGACTTCCAAAGATAGGAAACAGACTGAGGGTGCACTTAATGCATAATCATTTTCAACAGAAAAATTGTGCTGTGAAGGAGTTTTTGTCCTCTTATCTCATGTCATGACCGTGTTTTCATATGAACTTAAAGGTTTTGGCTGAAGCAGCAGATCACAGGCTGTAGTCAAAGCAGCAGAATCAGACTGTCGTCAGATGGTTAGTAAAATGGTCTCTCCTTTACAGATTTGTAAACCCAACATGCACAGGCCATCATGGTCAGTTCAAACATGACCAGACCATGAAGAATGGGGAGACGATAGAAAGTACAACTAAAGATAATCCAAAGATGGAAAATAGACGTTATCAAGAAGCTTTTCAGCATTAAAAAGAAAACGAACCAAGAAAAGAGAGGCTTTGCTAGAACAAAAGGATCATGCATGTGAGTATTTTCAGTCAGACTTCATATTAGTAATACACCAACTTGTTAATAAGTAGCGCATGAAACTAAAAGCAAGGACACCTCTCTTGCTGTAAAGTTGAAATAGTGAGCAGTTTAATTTAAGGTGTTAGTGCAAAGCGTAACATACTTTTAAATCCTTTTCTGTGAATCATAAAAGTACACCTGGGAGGTATCGTTTTTGTTCGTTTCTGCATCTTAACTTTAGCTTAAAGTTGTAAAAATGTCACTTCTCTGAACAGATAATTGGTCAAACTTTTTCCTGAACATTTTCAGAGCACCGTATGCCATACGTAGTCTCAGAGACAAGTGCATGAGGCACATCTGTAAAGACAATGCAAAAATATGAAAGCTGACAACTCACCATCTTTGCAGATGGTGCTGACCACGCAGGCTCCTCCCTCCAGATTGTAACCGCTGTTGCAGCTGCTGCAGTTTCTTTCCCCTGGACCCAAACACTCGAAGCAGCTATTGTCACACCTGGTGGAGGTTGTATCAATAATTACATCATGACGCAGGAGTCATTTACATGATTAGATATACCTGGTAATAGTATCTCACTGGGCTGCCACTGTTGGCGATTAGCTGGAGAACAACATTTTTGAGGAAATCTCCAAAGTATAACCAAACATTTGCTGCGGCTCCTAATTTCCTTGTGAGTCGCAGAGGGATGCAGCTTTGTTGATACTTAAGTTTTTTTCTTTAAAATAGTCGCAGAGTTGTGTCAAGAGCATTAGAGCGGAACTGAACAGCTGTACAGGAGCTCTCCTCTGGTAGAAAACATCCAACAAATGTCCAGGTCTTCAAACCACACAGAGGAAAACAACACTTGTTGAAAAACTGGTCCAAGCTGCCTGTCTTCATTTCAAGTGCACTCCAGTAAATTATATAATAAAGGTGGCAGCAAAGTTGGCCTCAAAGCGAATGGACAAAATAACGTCCACAGCCATCAACTTTACTTTACCACCTGAGATCACAAAATAGGCCATCGTTTTCAAAAACAGCACAGAAGAATGTGGTTACACAACTCTCTGGTCACGTTAGAATTAAGTGAGAGTGCAACAGAAAATTCACCTATTTTCTCACAATTCAAAATCACCACTTAGTCTCTTGACAGTAGCAGCCCAGTGACATGCCACCTTAAAGTTGATAACCACTAGAAGAAAATAAAAACACATCGTTATTTGAGGTTAACATGACACACACTTCCAGTCTGTTTGCTTGTATAATACAGTGAATGTGTGTGCGTAGTCCTTTTTACTTCACAGCGTGCTTCACAGGCAACAGGTTCTTTGAATGAGGTTTTTGTGGCAAAGTTATGAACAGTTAATCTCACACCTGTCTCTTTGAACAGATTAAGTTTGAAGAAACTGTTTTATTTATCTAGATTAATGAGCTAAAAGCCAGTCTGAGCTGTGGACCAAAGTGGATTGCTGCCATCTTACAAACCACTACAGTCTCAAACATTTCATAGCAGTTTATTGGTGCAAATGGCAGCGGCAGCCATTAGTTGCACTTCAGGTGCAGCCTATAGTACGTCTGGCAGAAGGGTCATGATATTTCTGACAGAATAACCATGTAATGCAAAACTGATGGAATTGTGGATTGTAAAAAATAGCATTTGCATGTAAATAACCATAAAATTAAATGTAAATAACCACATAATCAGAGTCTGACAACAGTGTAAAGGTTCATAAAAGAGGTTCATATGAACTGATCTAAAACTTTTGAGATTTGAGCTTTTTTTAAGATAACAGCTTAGACTTTGCCATGAGCTGTTAGGTCGGAATTAAATTAGACTTCTCTTCAATTAAAGAACTTTCTAAGATCTTATCCATCTGAACTTTCCCTTTAAACCATGAAACAGATGAAAATTATAAACTTTATTTTATAAATTCTCTTCATTTTCAACAACGGTTAGCTGTGATAATTGTCAATAACTAAGAGACAGAAAATTCTGAACACATTAGAAGCAAAAGTCCCACCGTATGTGAAAACGGGTGAAATCCTTCATAAGTGATCTGAACTGAGTTGATTATTAAAGAAGGAGGAGCTGTCAGAGAAAAGAACTGAGAGAAATGAAGGGTCAAGTTAGCAATAAATAATTCAAGCTGGGAGAGTGAAATGAGGAACACATCATAAGGAGAAAATGAACTGTGAGGTAGATGATGATGGAGGACTTGCATCTCATCATACAATTAAGTACCTTAAAAGTTGTTTTAATTTTTCTTTTCCCCATATTCAGATTAATATTACAAGAGTGAAGCAGCAGATTTTTCACAATAGTTATCTAACAACTGTTTTTATTAGTTTATTTATCTTTAATGCGTTTAATTTAAACTATGCTCTCTGTTGTAGCTAGTCTGAATAAACTCAGTGACTACTTTAATGTATTATTCTATAACAATATTATATGATGTTGGGTGTTATAAAATGTTGGGTGGTCGAGGTGGGGTACAGGCAGTGCAGCCGACTCGGGATTCGAAAGTTCCAGGTTCGATCCCCAGTCATTGCACATCTTGAGGTGTCTCTGAGCAGGACACTCTATCCCTAATTGCTCCCTTGGTACAGTTTCAATAGCTGCCCACTGCTCCACCTGGTGGTGGATGAGTTAAATGCAGAGAGCCAATTTTGCCATTGCATAGGAACATACAATGATGACAAAACATACGCATTATTATTATTATGGTCAGGCAAATGTAATATTTGTCTCGGGTGTGTAGCGTTTAGGAATAAAGATGTATGTTAGGGTTCAAAATTATTTTTGGTGCGTGTTTGGAGACTTCTTTAAACGTGTATCCTAATGGTTCAGAGTACTGGTATGTACACAACGAGGGATTGTTTTTCAGGCCCCCTGTGTCAGTTTGTAGCAAAGCTCTCCATTTCAAAAACAATAATATGATCAGAAATGTTCATTCTTAGGCTGGAGAAGAAATGCAAGTCCAAAAAACTTAATCTGGTAGGAGGGAGAAACTAACACACCTCTAAGTATCATGAAAGATTTTGAATGTTACATTATTTCTTTTGTTACTTATAAATATTTTCTCTGAGTGTTGTCAGATAGACATCCAGGGAGCCTTTAAAGTTCGTCAGAGCCGTGAAAATTACATTAGACATAGACAATCTGGGATTATAATCAAAATAGAAAGCTAAACTTAATTTTCATTGGAGAGAAAAAAGCTTTTTTTATCTCTGTTAAAAAGGACTAAATAAACCAGACTGCTGTATCATGTAAAAGTGTTTGCAGGTGTGCTGACTCACTTCTTACAGGACCTCTGCACCTGTCCATTGTCTGAGGTTTGCTCTGACAGGTAAGTGCCAGGGCTGCACGTCGACACACACCGCCAGTCCTCAAGTAAGTATCCATCTGCACACTTAGTACATGCTTCTGCACCTGTGCCTGTGAAACACGCAACATATACATATCAAAATACATTCTGAAAAAAATTATTACTATTGTCTGGCCAGTGTTAGTTTGTTATTAGATCTCTTCCCACCTGCGCAGGTGGCACAGGCTCGATGACAGTGCTCACAAGTCCTCCTGTGGCCGTTGTAGTAAGTTCCTGGGTGGCAGGTCATCTGACACTTATTATCTTGAAGACTGGGGGGAGGGCAGGTAGACAAAACACTCATTCATGTCAAATGTCACTAAAATGTTTACATAAAACTCCAAACTAGTAAAAGTTGGTCTGACACTTTAAGAGCAAAGACAAAACAAAAGAAATAACAAAATGAACACCTGCAGCGCTGGTAGGATTTTCTCCTGGATGGGGAACATAACAACTGGCCTGTGGTGCATATTTTGTCTAATATGCAGGAAAAATGTCTGTAAAAGGCATCTGTGATTTTAACCCAGAACAAATTATTGTTTTTTGTGCCAGTTGTCAGAAAAAAGTTCAGTTAGGAAGCAGGTTTGGAGGTTATCAAGTCACTTTCTGTGAAGTCCCAGTGAGAACAGGTTGCAAGTTTGCTGCGCTGAGCTGAAAAACAGCTGGTACGCGTTAGGTCTAGTTTCCCAGAAATGATCTGGTCCTCTCTTTCTTGCTGGCTCCTAACAGAGCATTAATGCAGGACTAAGTGGAAGAGGGGGAGCTGAGCGTGTATGTGTTTGTGTAGACAGTGTCTTAGTGAGGTCTCAATAGTGTTCTGGGGAAATTATGGCCTTCACCTCCACCTCTGAACACTTAAGCCCCCAGTATACTGCCGCGGACATCCATACGCAGAGGTAAGCACGTACGTACGTACGTACGCAGAGGTACGTGCATACCCCCCCAGGGCATGTCTGTGCAAAGCTCAAATTTTTACGACCGCATACGTGTACGCGGTGTCGCACAATAAACTGCCCAGCGACGGAATGTTTTGTATGCGACACCAATGTATTAAATTCTCCTTCTTCATCCCTGATCTGGTGTTTTCTTTTGTTTTTTTGCCAAGAGGCAGTGATCTCTTCCTCCTCTGTTGATGCAATGACTGAAATGGTGACAAATGAAGGAATTTGTCACGAGCGAATTAAACTCAGGTCCAGCGTGGCTGCGGGAGGGTCTGGAGATTTCCTGGTGGGCTGGTCTGATGTGTGGGCTGTAGAGCCAGCTCTCCTTGTTTTTTTTATTTTTAGATCTTTTTATTAACAACATATAAACACAGAACACCGCTGCGGCGGAGGCTGCCAGCGCTCGCTTTTTTTTTCTTTTTTCCGACCTGTCAATCAATCCAGTAGGCGTGTCAGCAAATGACCAATCGGCGACCTCAATTTGTCCCGAAGGTAAACGCCCCTTGCCTGAGGAGCTGCTCTGCAGCTGCTCGGGGTGTACGCTGGAGTATCATGTCTGAACCCTCTGCGTACAGTACACGCGTACGTACGCGTGAACGGACATATGCGGCAGTATACTGGAGCCTTTACAGTTAAGTTCAAGGCTGCAAAATGTTTTAAAGCACTTTTAAGTGTTGCCTTCATGACCTTTGGAAATTTAATCACTTTAAAATGCCCTGTCCTCTCTCAGGTCAAGTGTAGTGGCCAAAAAAATAAACTAAAACACAACTAAAACTTCAGGATTCATAATAAGAACATCTCCAAACATCAAGCGCACCAGTGTTGTAAAAAGCACTTCAAAGCAATACTTCAGTGAAAGTACAAGTATCATGCCATAAAATTACTTTGGTAAAAGTTAGTCTACTTTAAAATTATTACTTAAGCAAAAGTCTTAAAGTATCTGACATTTAATGTACTTAAGTATCAAAATTGTGTGCTCTACACTGGTTTGTCGTCATTATCTGCCATTCTATATACATATCTGTCATTATCGTTCTTTGTCTATATTCTGATTTACCTCATTTTGGATTTTGCTTTGTGTGTTACCTGTTGTTTTGTCTGTACAGTACTTTGGTTGGCCTTGTTGCTGTTTTAAGTGCTTTATAAATAAAGTGGTATGGTATGGTATGGTAAAAGTAAATGTATCATAGAAAATGTACTTAAAGTAAGAGTATTAAGTAAAAGTAAATGGTTAGAATTTCCAAAACAACATTTATTGGGTGCAATATCCAATAAAATAAACTTGGAAAATTTGAACTGAGCAATGAAAGATTTCCTCTCTCCAATAGTGCAACGATAAATGTTAGAGAGGTATATAGACAAACTGAACTTGTCTTAACTGGAACGAGGGTGAGTAATTAACTGAAGCTGTAAAGGTGTTTGTTCTTCTTGAGAAGAAGTTGGTTTTCAAAGTTGTGTAGCCAAGAAGAAAGAGTGATAGGAATTTTTTTGCCTCCAATTCCTACATGTGTCCAGTTTCATCACTTTTTGTCTGTCTAAACAGATCTCACTTGTAAATGAGTCTTCTAGGCTCAGTGAGACTTATCTGTCTAAATAAAGGTTGAATTAATAAAAAATGTAAAGATACGTCAAAATTCTACTTAAGTACAGTAACTAAGTATTTCTACTTCGTTATATTACAACACTGAAGCGCACAAATTAAAAGTCTCCATGTGACAAGTTTATGTGGATGTGAATAGATCTGGGTCACCATATAAATATAGGTGTGCTCACTTTGGGCTCCAAAATGAAAAACATTTGGCGAAGTCCTGGTTTCAGTGCTTCATGCTGCAAACCCAAAACCACAACTCACTGTAATGTGCGGATCTAAATTAACAGCAGAGTGTCCCTACAGAGTAACAAAAGATTTTTATCAAGAAACCACAACACTGACACTCAATGCTTAAGGTTTATCCAAGAGGGCATTTTTTATTTTTATATGAATTATTTGATAAAAATCAAGACTGTCCAATTTCTTAATTAGGACTTAGGTTTTATTGTGGTTTGAAAAAAGGGGTCCTCCAATGAGATAATTTGCCTTTTAGTTACATTTCTTTCACAGTGGTCAAAAGTTATGATGTAGAAAAGGTGCAAATGAAAGACAAATGTTTCCTAAAGAAACTATGCCTGAGGTGGTTTTGTGGTGGTTCTAAACACCTTCTTGATGGCATATACTGTAGGTGGAACAGAAAGGCTTAAAACAAGCAGTTTGTCTCCCAGCATTTGTTCATTAGAGCAAAAGAAAATGAAAAACTAGTGTGAGAGAAAATTAAGAGAGATTTAGAGACATGTTTCAGTGTTCCTCACTTGCAAAAAAAAAAAAAAAAGACCAATTACTGCACAGGGTGAGAAAAAATGGTAGACTCATATAAACGTTTCTTTTCTATCCAACCTATTAATGATAAAGAAATACACTAAATTTAATTCAATCCAGTCAATGATTGTTTTTTGTTTTGTTTTCTTGCTTCCAGCTTACCTCGTCCCCTGTTTACATTCTGTGCAGATACTGAAGCTTGTACATTTCTTGCAGTTTTCTTGACATCTTCTGCAAATGTTGGAATCTAAAAGAACAGAGAGTTTGTCAAAGAGTGCCTGGTCTGAAGTCAGAAACATTTGGCGAAAAACTAAACGGTGTAAAGGGACAAAAACAACTTGAGGAGTGTGAGATGGGAGAAAGAGTTATGATTTAAATGTACAAATAACCAGAACTGTGGGTAAAAACAAACAAACAAACACTGAAAGAAAGATTTATGAAAATCTACTCACAACAGGAAAAATAATATAAGAAAATCAACAAGTAAAAAATAAACTAATAAATAACTTTTCCTTTTTTGCATTTTACGCAGCAGCTTAACAATTTTAAAAACAGTGTTTCAGATGAGTATTTTTTTTAAATGACTTAACAGGATAATTTAACATTTAACAGGGACACTACTGCCCTCAGCAACATAATTGTTTTGTTATCCATTTAAAGCCAAAGATTTGACAGGGTTTACAAATTAAAGCCATCATATATACACTGAAAAAAACAACAACAACAACAAAAAAGGCTTATGTATGAGATAATCTGTCTGGTTTGTCAATAAAAAGAGCACAACCAGGGGAGATGAAACATTATAGTTATTGGTGAAATTTCTAAGAATTATTAGAAATGTGAAGATATGTTTAGACAGACTGTTAATTGAATTTAACAAGAAGAAAATTAAGATTAATGCTGCCTTTAGAATGTTAATTTACCTTATTGGCTAAAAACCATGTTTTAACAGTTTCATTTATCAATGATTCAATTAAAGCACAAATAATTTTTTTTTAATTTGTGCTACACTACTTGGAAACTCACTAAACATTACATAGCTGGTATGATATGTGAAGCATTATTAAGTCACCACTTTGTCGCCTCTAAAAAAGGTTTTAGGAGGGGAAAAAAAGACTAATCTGTCAACGTGTTGAAAGAAAGCAAGAATTCTCCTAGTTCTGCTGGCAGAGTGATAAAAAGAAAATAAACTAGTTTGCTAATTTATTGAAACAACACGATGTTAAGCTGTGCCAACATTTCAAAGGGAAAAGTTTCCTCTAGATCTTGGCCTGTTGAAATATGACTGAACTCCCATCACTTCAGATCTGTTGCCAGACGTCCTGCCAGGATTTACACTAATGTGGCTGCAAAAACATACACATAATTAACAGATATACGGAGTCTTTTGTCCCCGATCTGCATTCATTCAGACTGGCACATGTCTTAAACACAAGTCTAATCTATGAAAATGTATTTTTAATCTGCAATTCCAGCATAACTTTGTTTATCATAAAGAGACAAAAAGGCCAACTGTCTAGAACAAAACTCATTGGGAGTCCTGTAGATCTGCGTTATTTTAATTGTCTTTACATTTTTTGTGTGGAAGAAAACATGCTAATAGAAGTGTTTTTTGTTTTTTTTCCCATTCTGTTGGATTCATAAAGTGTATGAAAACAAACAAGTGGCTAGACATTACATCAAGGACAAAATGGCATCACTCTGAAGTTGGAAAGTAAAAGCAGTTTTCCTGATTGTTTTTTTTTTTTTGCAAAGCAGATGGTGGACAGATGTTTTTAAAAAGTACAGCCTGCTTTCCCTTTTGGGGAAAACCTTTTCCAGCTTTCAGAAATTTTAGTGAAACCAGGATCCTTGATATTTTGATAGATGGACAGTAAAGTAATGGTCAAAACTGAGCAGCCACCATCTAGTTTTATTTTCCAATTTAATGCAATCTCCTCACAAATGTTATGTTTATGGGAATTTGATGTTGATGCAGCAATTCATGGCTAAACAGGTGCAGAAGAAAGTAAAAAAAAAAAATTGAGTTTGCAAACAAATCCCTGATGACATTATGTGGCATCATGTGTGCGCATTAGTTAAGAGTAGGAGAATTGTGGAGAAAGCTTGGGCGCCTTAAAAACGTACTGCTGTCGAGGTAGAAGCCGTCGGCACAGTTGGCAACACACGTGTTGGAGCCCTCCAAGAAGTGGTAACCGCTTCTGCAAGAAATGCACTGGTCGCTACGACTCCCAACACAGGTCTCGCACAAGGAGGAGCATTTCTTGCAGCGCTTCCTGTCGTCACGGAAAAAGCCGCTGGGGCACTCGGAAACACACATTCTGAGGCAGCAGATGATTAAAAGAAGAGAAGAAGGAAAGAAAAACAATGATGAGACAGAGTTTTATAATGATGCAGCTAAATAAAAAAATAAAAAAAACATCTTTACTGAAATATCAAGCACCATCACACAACTGAATAACAAATAGGCCCACATTGTGTAGTACATACTACGGCAATAATGCAGCAAGTTATGGTTCAATAAAACAATGTTTTTTTATTTATTAAAACTTAATAACATGAGACGGATAGAGACAGAGCACAACAATCAAGTTGAATATGAGCAGGTGAACATTTACTCGTCTACCTCCCTCTGCCTCGCCACCCCTTCATATCACTCTGACAATCCTTATCTGAAGTGAAAAAACCTCCAGAGTACACAATACCCCCATACACACTCTTTAAGCTATATTTTCAGTACTTTCTGCCACGTGTGAAATACTTAATTCATGTGTGAAAGCACACCACCATGCCTTTGTTCTGCATCTTCAAAACCTGCTCTGTGTTGCTTCAGCTCACAGTCAGTTTACCACGAGTTGATTATTCCAGCAAAACATGTATGATATTATTGATAGAAGTGTTTTAGGCTGCATCAGAAGCACTACAGCTAGCTGGCAGCTGTGGCTGAGTGGTTGGAGCAGTCGTCCTTCAATGCAAGAGTTGGGGGTTCGAATCCAACAGCAGTCACATGCCGAAGTGTCCCCAGGTAAGACATTGAACCCCTCGTTGCCTCTGATGTGTGTCCCATCGGTGTATGAATGTGATCTAAAGCTCTGATTAGTCTCTTTAAAATGATTTGTTCAATTAGCTTTGTAGAGATCTACTAGAGTGCTATATGAATGGGTAAATGAAGGCACAGATTGTAGTGTAAAGCGCTTTGAGTATCTCGATAAGATAGAAAAAGCGCTATATAAGTACAGTCCATTTAGCTGCTGCTGCTTAATGCCAAATTGACAGCGATGTATTGTATTGCAATGTAAAACAGTGTCCTGATGCATGTGTAGTGAACTAGGCCTAAGGTCAGGATTTGACCTTAAGGACCATATGGGACAGAAACTGTCATTTCATCGATTTGAATCCAGAAATACAGGTTGACCCATCCTGAGACTTTCTTTCTTGAATTAATCAAGTAAAAGAAGACTACTTTCTATTATCATTACCATTTTACAAATGTTTTGATAATCAAATTGTGTTAGTTCAAACAATGTTTACATGTTGAAGTGAACTACTCATTTTTAAATCAACTGTGAAACAGTAATAACGATTTTTAATCCTCATTCAAAGAAGAAATCAGGTTAATGATGCATTGTCTGATTTTCTGTCTTCAATGAGCAAGGGTGTAAGTTGGTCAAAGTTCAAGTTTCGGTCAACTGCAAGTTTACTGAAAAAGAAATGTCATGTTTAACTTTTACAGCAAGATACTAGAGAATTGACTCCACGAAGTCTGAAGTTCTTCATAATATCTTTTGTCTGTTCTTAAACAATCTTAATCTTTTTCCTTGACTTTTCATAACACCTTACATCACAAAACACACCTCTGTTTTGGTCCATCGACCAATCAGAAACTCCCAAATGAACCGGAAATAGAGCTCTTTAAATGTTGGTACTTTCTAGTTCAACCCAGTAAGTTTTTAGTTTAGTTTTTGAAAAGAGTTGGAGTAGATGGAGAGTTCTGCAAGAGGTTCCACCTCCAGTTGGAGTCGGGTGGAGAGTTTGCAGCTCCAGTCGTTTGGGAGTAGATGAAGAAGTTCTGCAGTTCTGAAACTCAGCAGTTCCAGAGTTCATGAAGGCTGGAATTCAGGATGCTGATGAAAGAAAAATCAAGCTGAACAAGAGAAGATCTGGGAATTATGAAATGTCTGTTCTGGATGATCTCACGACTCCCGAGGTTTAGCTGTTCTTACGGAGACGCTGAAAAGTGGCTCGAAGTGGAACTTTACGCTGGAACTGACATATCTTCAGAAAGGTAAAAAGTCGATCTTCAACCAAAGTGTACCGTTGGGACAAGCTGGTCCAAAGGAGCGTGCTGTTCTGGTTAAAACAGACAAATTCCCTCACACATCTCTCTCAAGATAAACTTCATCTTTCATCTTTAAAACTCTTCTATCAAGTAGAAATTAATCCAGATATTTTTAGAAATGTCTAAAGCAAAGTTTTCAACCACCGCCGTGTGGTAATGCCTGTTGTACTACTGGAAGTGAGAACAATCGCTGTATTGTTTACTTCCTGTAAAACTGATTAATAAGCTGTTGTTATTTTCAATTCTTGCCAATTAATGTAAATGTGTGATGTGTTAAACTTGATTCTGTTAATAAATGACCCACTGTCGTTGGTGAGTCAAAGATAATTAACGTCTCACGTCCACATTTTATTAAATTCAGATGCACGTTATTATACAGTCCAGAAAAATGAAAGAATCCATTTTATCTATGAATATATGACAGCATATGTTCATATTACACATGCTCAATAATCCGGATAGATCAATCTAACAAGGTTGAGTCAGGTCCTCTGGATGGATTCTTCTTTGTTGAAACGTTTCGTCTTTTATCCAAAATACTTCTTCAGTCTGAGGAGCTGCAACAAACTCAGTCTTATAAATAGCACCTTCTCATAGTGGATCAATCAGTTTGCTGCTGACAGCCAAAATTAGTTGTTCACATGCAAAAGGAGGACCGTCAGCCTAATAATTGATCATTAGTGCCCTGATGTCCACTTGTTATTCACATAGGGCTGAGTGATACTTTCAATAATTAATTTTTAATGAACCTTTATTTAATTAGGCAAATCCCATTGAGATCACAGATCTCTTTTGCAAGGGAGGCCTGGGCCTGAAGGCAGCCAAAGATGTATAACAACATAGTAAGAGGGGGACAGCCCCTGTTTAATTATGGACAGGTTCTCTTCACAAAGATGGTTTCCTTTACTCCTCTCTCAAACCAGAGAACGCTGGTACTCAAGTATCTGGGTGTCTTGTTCACGAGCGATGGTGGAATAAAGTGGGAGATGGATTAACAGATTGGGGCCTCGTCCTCAGTAATGAGGGCTTTACTTTGGTCAGTCATAAAAAAGAAAAAGCTGAGATGAAATGCAAAGCTCTCGATTTACTGGTCCGTCTACATTCGACCCTTCCTTAAGCTCATGAGGTTTCGGTTCATGATCAAAAGAATGAGATCCCAGATAAAAGCGGCTACAATGGACTTCCTTCACAGGGTGGCCGAGCTCAGCCTTAGGGATGAGGGATGGTGAGGAGCTCCATCATCCAGACAGAGCTCCAAGTAGAGCTGCTGCTCCTATGCATCAAAAGGAGTCAGTTGAGGTGGTTCGGGCGTTTGATTAGGATGCCTCCTGGACACAACCTTTTAGAGGTTTCCCAGGCATGTCCTGCTAGTAGGAGGTCCCAGTGCAGACCCAGACGTTGCTGGAGGGGTTAAATTATCTTCTCTTGCCTGGGAATGCCTCAGGGTCCCCCAGGCAAACTGAAAAGTATTGCTGGGGAGTCTGGGTTTCTTTCCTTGACCTGATGCCTCCATGGCCTGACTACAGATAAGCAATAGAAAATGGAGATGGAGGTTGTTCAAGAGCTATGGGTGCAATGGGTAAGATATTAATTGTTCAAAATCTTCTACAGAACCTTACATTTTTGTTTAACCTTAGAAATTCATGTAAAAATCTTCAGCAATTTAAAAGGCGCAAAAGTCCTCCATGTAAACACAGAAATAAACACAACTACAAGTTAAAAATAAACTTTCAAAGACCCAAAAGCTTTTGATGAGTGTGGACATCAAACACATACGCAGAACTGTAATTATCTAAAACAATACACCTCTACCACCCCTCCTCCTTCCTCCCACCACTCCCCCAACCTTCATATATCAGTCAGTCCCTGTGACGGCAGAAAAGGGCAGCACACCTCTAAAGTGGCCAAATGTTAAGCTGCAGCTAAGCTTGCATGTTCTCATGCACCTGCATCACTCTGTCTTTTATTAGCACCAAGACAAGCCAACACAAAGGCAATTATCACAGACTTTGATCCTAATGAGATCTTAGGGGCACACGGATGTACAGATAATGCACATTAACAGTCCCGCGGTGATAAATTGGACTTTATACATAAAAAAAGAGTGAGAAAACATGATTTCTACTGTCAGACTGTCAAGGTGAAAATGATCTGCACATGCATCAATTTTTAGCTCAACAGAAATTAGTGAAAATGTGGAGCCGTATAAATGCACAACACAAAAATATTTGTCATTTGAAAGGAGCTGCCGTGGTTCTAGCAGTTACACTTTTACTGGGTTTGAAATGCACGAACAGTGAGATGATGCAAATAAATCACAGTAAACTGACTCATTTGTACTTTTCACATACAAAAAAAAGACATAACAGACAAAATTATAAATTATATTAAGATAAACTGATAACTAAAGGACAAAAAATTTAATATGAAACTTTTTATATTCTAAAAACAAATTACACCTTTAATCTTAATTACTTTTTCTAAAAGTTTTATTATTTATCTGTAAAATAGTCAAGACTTTTAGCAGGTTGTCTAATTCTAAATTATTTTTATAAGGAACATCTTAATATTTCAATGGGCTGCCTAAACAAAATCAGGTCTAAGACTCCCCTACGAGTTCTTCCTGTCAAAAAGATAACTTCATTGCAGTCAATTTTGCAAACCACGTCTATAAATATTATGCAACATTTATTTATGACCTGTTTAGCTTTAGATAATTTGTTCTTCATTTCTTTACCTGAAAAAAAAAATAATTATTCTACACAAAATAGACAGCTGATAAACATTTCTAACATAAATTATTTAAATTCTGTTGGCAAACCTAACTATGAAAGAACATCACTGATAATGTATCTTAAAGCAGTCTGACCTGGTGTTATTTTTGAACTTGAGGAAGTAATGGAGGCAGTTAATGCAGTGGTGTGGTCCTGGACCCTCACAGCCATTCTCATTGCATTCAGCATCACAGGGGCCTGGAAACAAACAGAATGAAACACGTTGGAGATAAATCCAAAATAATCATAAAAAAGTAGTAATGCCAGTTATTAATAATAAATGTCTCTAAAAACACATGATACAAGGCAGTAACACAACCTGTTAAATAATCATGTTACTTTATAATGCTGTTTCTATGAAGGTTTATTTTTTATGTTTTACCGTTGTACTCCTCGGTGAACTCCTCCTCGACTGGCTGCAGTATGTCAGTGAAGCGAGGCTGCTTTTCAACGTGCATAGATGAGTACGGGTGAACGGAGGTACCATACAGCACCAGTGACCACTCCTTCAACTTTCCTGTGAAAACACACTGCTTATCAAGACGGGCAGATATTTATTTAGACATATCACTCCAATCTGGCTTTTAAACATTATTCTCAGCTTTTTGAACTACTGCAAGCAAATTATATGATCTAAGATGTTTAGTAATACTTTGTCAGAGATTTATTTTAAATGATCATTTCACTCCATCCATAGCAACCCGTTAGCTCCTTTTAGTATTTCACCTCTGTTCAACTGCAGCATTATTTTAACTTTTAAATGTAATAATTGTGCAGTTATTACCAGGCACTTTCTGGCTGCGAAGCTGAGAAGGTGAGTCATAGATTTCTAGGACCCAGTCGCCTGCTGCCTTCTCTCCCCAGCAGTGGGTGGTCATAAACTCCCAGTTCTTAAAGCCCTCCATGGAGTAATCAAACAACCTGCGCATCAAAGATACACACACACACACACACACACACACACACACACACACACACACACAATTATATCGGACATAAAATTAACTTGTGTGTTATAAAAACCAAAACAATAAATCCCTACTACTCAGCAAAAATACAATTACAGCCTTGAATGAACAGCAAACACTGTACAGAAGTGCGGTCTACTTTGAGAGATGAAGTCAAGAATCTGTTTTACTGACAGGAAGAAATTTATTAGCAAATATCTGAAAGCTTAACCAGCTGCTTACAACTATAATGTTTATCGTTAGACATATGTGACACAAAATTAAATGTAAATGTTGAGCTAATTGTGTACAAATTATTAACAAATACAAGGAACAGAATGTTGCTGTATAATGTTTTTTTTTAATACATTATCTAAAATAATTAAAAACCTGAATCAGTTGTGGCAGGTAAGACAAATGGATTTAGACTTTGAGATACACCTGACAAATAGGAGACACATCCCACTGACTGTTAATGTTATTTCTCCTAGACAGTTTTAATAACAGAGTGGTGGGACTCACTGCTTTTCTCTTGCCTTCAAACTGACAGTAATCTCAAAGCCTAAAACCACCAGTTTAAAAAGTGCATCTGGTGAATGAGCCCTCCTTTCCGGTGGGGCAACCCCATGGCTTGTGTGGACAGCCAGGAAAAAAAGGAGGGGAAGTTAAGATGGCAAATTATAGATTTTTATGGAAGAATAAAAATAGTTTGCTCGTGCTAACATGTCAGTACCTGTTTGCAAGCAGCTGAGACTTGGTCCCTGATGGTGAGGTCAGGTTGATTGACAGGTCTCCACGACGAGGATGTGTAATGGTAATACGGACAACCACGTGCTCCAAGTATATCACATGGTTGTTGGGGTTGTCAGTGCATCCAGTTGCCTTGTAGACCGACCTCACCACATGCTCTGGACGGATGGTTCTGCTGGGCAGAAAGGCATGAAGAGAAAAAATTTGCACGATAAAACACAACTTAGGTATAGTTTGATATTATTCACAGCTCTGAAAACCTGAACAGTCAACGCCAAAAGCAGAGAGCATTTTCATTTTCTGTAACTCTGAAGATTGTCCCAGAAATAATCAAAACGAAACTGACTCAAAACCAGTTGGAAGACCAAATGTACGAATTAACAAAAAAATGTAACTGACTCACATTTTCACAAAGCAGGATTTAGCCAGTGAATTTCACTCTGAGTAAACCCAATTATTAATACCTCTCTGCTGCACCTGAGGCTTGAAAACTGTGACTGTTTCCTTCCACCGAGACATTCAGACCTCTCTTTCAAAAAAATGCCGTCAGTGACAGACTAGACATCAATCTTCAATTCACCGAAAAGCAATCACACGTATTTCCTTCAAACAAAAACCATGTCCGAGAGTCTATATAAAAGCATTTCATTTCCCAAACCTCAACCTGCTAAAGAAACTGAGCATGATAAGAAAAGAAATGTCTGCTCGCTCTGCTGTGCACAGCTCAGCAGCAGAAAGACCTCTGAACAGCCAAGACAAACATCTAACAGCCCCTTCAATAACATCTGTGGTATAATCTAATACAATAACAGTACAACACCAAAAACAGGGACAAAACCAGAAAAGGAAATATAAACACCATCCTGCCGGCTATAGACTTTAGAGAAAAAGGAGTGCTGCTGAGCTGTGATTGCAACAAAACTCCTGCTTTAGTTGGATTACAAACAAAGTTTACTCAAGAAAAATGACAACACACGAGGTGAATTACACTCGCTGACAAATACATGTTTAAAATTGATATTTAAGTCATACTTTTTGCAAGTTAGAGGTTGAAAGATATTGTCAGCGAAAACTTTTTTTTAATTCTCTGTTGTCAGTGTAACGATCTCTGAGATGACATGTTTAGTAGCAAAACGATAAAGCAAATGTTTACCTTCACACAAATATCACAATCAACTGCTGTAATTCAGTGAAAGATAGGCCACAAAATATTTACACTTCAAACAATAATTGGAACATTTTATGAAAATATTTTCTGAACATAAGATGTAGATTCACTGATTATGAATTAGCGATAACATCAATGTATATTGTAAAGGTGTTTGACCGCAAAGCTGAAATAAATAATTTTCTTTTTGAAATGATGCAATAAAAAACATGAATTTAATTAATTTTAAATTACAGGCCTAGCATTCCTCAAAGGAATGTATTTTGTTTGCAACCTTTCATGCCAGAGTTTCAAATGTTGAGAAAGTGATAGTGTTGGACATTTTTGTGCAGGCTAAGGTTGATTAGTTATAGAGGCCATCTTAGGTTCTTTAGGTTCTTTTAGCTGTTCCCTCTTTAGGGGTCATCACAGAGTCCTCTTCCATCTCACCCTGTCCTCACCCCAACTATCTCAATGTACTCTCTAACTGCTTTCACATCTCTTCTTTGGCCTTCCCCATGTCTTTTTCTTGGCAGCTGCATTTCCAACACCCTTCTACTAATATATCCCAATTCAAACACTTTTTTCATTTATTATTTAACTCAGGCTACTGGAAGCGTGACCAGTCAATTGATGGGACTCAAAATGTAGACGATTTAAAACAAAAGCATAGAAAAGATTAACTCAAGTTGACGTCATGAAATGAACAACAGTCTCCTTCAATGACCATCAGGAGAGTGTAGGGCTGATACAATAGCTTTGGCCTCTCTACAACACAGCTCAGATAACTGGACCATACACATGAGACCAAGCCTAGCAGATACACAGCTGATTACTACCAGCCTGAATGCACAAAGATCACGTATGTTTCCCAGTGCATACTCCCAGGAGAGTGTAGGAGATCAGCTGCAGACAGGCATTAATAAAGGCCAGCCGGGGGAGTGGAGAAACACAGGAATACGACACTAGAAAGTTATACTAGAAGCATGGAGAACACTTGCATACAAACACAAGCAGATGCATCACCAAACACATATAACCTATGTAGTAAAAAAAAAAACATTCACATGCACAAAAGAATGAAATGTCAATCAAATGTGCAGTGCTATCCATGAAATAATGCTCTAAAGATAATTTGTTTAACTAAAACAAATATTCCTGATTTTATACCCATCATACATTACTTTCATTTGTGCTTAGTCTTCATTCAAACAGAAATATAAACCCAATCCTGTGTATCCCTAGGCCCCACACACACAATGAAAAAATGAACAAAGAGGCTAAAATGACAGGGTTTACTTGTTTAACACATTAGCCAACACACATTACAAGACTACAAAGGCTTGAGGATGACTGAATCTGACACAAGTCAGACTTTACATAAGCCTCATATGGACAGACTTGTGTGCAGCAGAGCAGAACAGACAGAATGACACCGATAATGCTGCAGTTTCTGACCACTGAGCATTCATCTGAAAGCAAACCAGTTCAGGGCCCAACTTCAGCCAGCCAGCCTAATACAGAACAGTGCTCGGGCTTCCAGCTGCATCAAGAATAACAAGCTGTGAAGCCCTGGCTATGTAAGAGTAAGTGTGTGTGCAACAGTAAAGGTCTTATGTGAGAACCACCCTGCCAGAACTAATGCTTGGCCCCTATCAAGGTACAGCTTGCACAACCACACTCTAAAACACATGCCAGTGAAAACCACCAAGGACAGAGAAAAATAAGAAAAGACAACTGAGAAAGAGTGGAACAGACAGACAAAGAAAAGGGTTGAATTCCTGAACAAGACACAAAAAACAGACAGTTCTCATTCATAATGCATCCATATTTGGCACATTGCTTGGTTAAAAATCTTATACACAAAAAAACTAGAAAACACTGACCCATACAACTTTTTTCACACATACTAATAAAAAACAAAGCAGCAGAACTATTTCATGGACGCACACCAGTCTGACTGATTTCTGTTTTGGCCTTTATATCTTCAGCTCATTAAGGCTTGATGCAACAGATAAATGCACCTGTTCCCAATTAGACAAGAAGCTAAAGCCCCAGCTTATAATGAGAGTTTTGACAAGTGATTTTCTTGCTATTGTCACAGAGAACTTTGTATCTTACCTTAAATATGATACTTTACCTTAAATATAAATTCACCTTATGTGCCTGTCTTCACTGTGAGAAAATACTGTGCTCAGACTGTTTTGAAATAATGAAGAATCATGAATCTCCAGTTTTATCAAAATAGAAAAAAAATACATCTCATGATTGATAGCTTGTCTAACTGGTCCGTGTTTAGTCTAAATATAACAGGAGTACATAAAACAACAGCCCAGTTATTGAAGAACACAGCACTTTTCTTATCACGTGAAGGAGAGCTATAAAGCTAGATTGGACTTTTTGTCATACACACTTCCTCCGCAGGCTGTGTGAAGCATTCTGTGTGACATGTGACATGTTCATTCTGTGTGACATGTGACATGTTCATCATTATAAACAAATTCAAAGACCATTTTTGAAGACATCTTTTATTTCACCCGTTTCTGTGTTGAGACAATTTAGAGTAGGAAAATCCACCACAACTTTGTAAAAGAGAAAGAGGTTAGGTCCTTCCTCTGCATGCAAAGTGAGGCCAATCCAACCCAGTTTTACACAGAGCGCTAAGCTCAGCTCAATCAATCACCTTTGGGATGACGCGCGTACACGAGCACGCGCACACACACACACACACACACACACACACACACACACACAACAGGTATTTACGGCCAAAATGGATGAACTAGTGCCTGAATGTGGAGAATCTTCCTGCAGCCAGGTTCCAAAGTCTGACGTAAAATAAAAAAATCTTAAAAGTTTAACGGCCCAAGTTTAACTAATAAGATTACCAGTTGTATTTTACGATCTATACATCAGAAAGTTGGATGGTCATCTTTGTTGTGCTTATACTCTACCTCAGTTGTCGGTCAGCACTCTCCACACAGATGTGTTGGGTAGGTACTTGCTTCCATCGTTCCGCCTCCTTCACCATCGCCTCAGCGTCCATCAGGCCGAAGCCATACAGGTGGCTGACTGCAACAGAAAAGCAGGTCAGAACATTGTTTTGTACACCAAAGATTGTTTTTGTTTGTTGTTAAAGCTTTAGGGAAGATTTGTGTGTGTCTGTCTATCAGTCTATATATATATATATATATAGACTGATAGACGTTTAGTTAAATATGCATTCCTTTCATACATCTCCTCCCCCTTTTCTGTTCTGTCACTTGGAAAATCTCCAGGCACACTGAGTCTGCAGCTTGGCTGACCCTTAGTTTTCTCTCTCTCTCTTGGTTTTTCTCCAGAAAACACACAACACACACACGTTCAGGTATGCGTTAATCATGCACCGAAAGTTACAAAACAGCACCCACCACATGGACGTTGACAGATGGCAGCTGGCGGCAGAATACTTAGCAAGCGAACACTAAACATTTCAAGAATCTGCTTATCACCTCATTTCTGACGGAACAAAATGTAACTATAAATACGAATGTATAAAACTGATTTTAGTTGTTCATTTATTTTTTTTAACTGATGATTATCTTCACATATTACCAGATAAGTTTTGTCTGAATGCCTTAAGCTTAATATTGTGTATCTGTAAACGGCAAGTTTGTAAATATTTTCTTTCAGCCCATCATGCAGCAATAAATGTATTAAAGATTGGGAGGAAATCCAGCACATTCCTCAGCAATGAACAGCTTAATCTCAGAGCTGTTGGGAGGGTTTTATCAAATAAAATACAACCTTTAGATTGATCCATTTCTATTAGATAATTAGTATTTTGACTTGGTCATCATCAATTTGTTCTTCCTGAACTGTTTTTTGATAGAAACCATTTTTGTAATTATTTGTTATCTTGCTACACAACCAACTTGGTTTCAGATTCAGGTAATATAAATCTTTACTGTCATTTTCTTATCAAATTTTATAGATATTAATTATACTTTATTAATCTATCATGAGTGGCAGCTAACGCAAGTAAAAAGACGGACCACGGTGCTGTTGGCAAATCATTTTACGGATTATATAAATGTCGTTGCTAAAATGCAGTCTTCTTTGTTCTAAACAATAATTATTACTTAAAACAACAATTACAGTATTGGATTTTTCAAAACCTTGCCTAAGAATAAACTACTTTTTCTGAGGTTCTCTGAAAGCTCTTTTGTTTGTACACTTATAAAAAAAGACTAATTTTTAGGGTTAAATAACCTGATTTTGCTTCTCATTAATAGTCACAAAATTAGGCACCCTCCACCATTCAAAATCATCTAAACCTCTACTGACGCAGTTTTTAAATTCTGAATTATTTATTTTTTAAATATTTTTTTTTTGATTTTTTTCAGTTGCATTTAATTTGTTAGTCTAACAATTTTTGTCTTCTTAGTTTGAAGAGTTAAAACTGTTTAAGTTCAATCAAGCAATTGTTATTAAAAAAAACGTAAAAAAATATATTGGACATTTAGCCAATTAGTTATCAATTAAAAAAATCATTAAAATATATTGAAATTAACCGTTAATGTGCATTGCTTGTTGAAATATTTGACATAATTTTGGTTGTCCCCTTATTCAGGGGTTGTCACAGCAAGCAAACTCACATGAAAGATTTGGCAATTGTTTTACGCCGGATGCCCTTCCTCACACAACCTGGACTCGAACCCGCAACCTCAGGATTACAAGACCGTGGCACTGTCCACCAAGCTACCACAGCCCAACATCCAGAGTACTTATGCTTATATTTAAAGGGTTAACTGCAGTATTTATTTGGAACAATATCAAGGTTGTTCATATATTTGTGTGTGTGTGCGTGCACGTGTACCATTATAACCAGCAGCATTGGTCTTCCAGTCAGAAGCACTAAGATGCCCGGCTCTTGAGGTTTTTACAATGATGTGCTGTACATCTCTCCAGGTTAGAAGAGGACTATTTAAAGAAACACACAAAGACAAATCCACTCACTGGTTAATACCATCAGTCAAAATCTTGGTATATAAGCAACAAAAAATATGTTTTAAAAACAAATGCTAACAAATGCGAACATAACTGAAATAATGTAAAGCACACGTAATAAAGATGAGAAAAATAAAAGGTCACTGAATGATTTACTGTGATGTAAAAAAATAAGGGAGACATTGAGATATAAACCAAAAGACTCAAAAGGGCAAAATGGCTATTAAGAGGTGCAAACATAAATATCTCTTTGTTGTGTTATTACATTCAGACAACAGTGGGAAGTGGACAAACAGGTAGATGAAAGAGAAACATAAGCAAGTTTAAGATAAAAGGAAAGGACAAACAAATTATTCAGTCAAAGTTGGGTAAAGAAAACAGTGATCTAAGAAAAGTAGAAGTTTAGATTGGGATGTAAATTAGAGAGGACACAGATGAAGAACATAGACGCTTGTTCATGCAACCCTAGTTTCTCAGATCTCACGTGAGAGCCATTATGGGATAGCAGCCATGTGTCTAAAGTCCTTTGATGCCCAAACGCTACATTAAAGGGAAAAAAACAGGAAGAAATGGGTCAATAGGTTTCCTGGGATTCCCTTCAATCTCATATGTTGGCCAGATGCTCTGTTCCCTCTCTTGTGTCGCTCCCTCGCCATCTGAGCCTTACAGAAATTTCAATACTCTAAAATGTGTAAGCTAAAAGTGACCATTAATGTTGGTAAATAACATTTATATTTTATTATTTAAATGTATATATAATTTGAGAGCAAAACAGAGAAAAATAGCCCGCTGCATGAATTGCTTTCATAACAATAGGTATGTGTAAAAAACAGAATATCTACAGGAAGTGTGCTCATTACATGTTTAGATGCAGATGTTCATAAAATTATGCTTAAGAGGCAGATGATTTTGCAATATTATGACAGTTTAATGTGCAGCTGTGATAATGAAAGTGTGAATAAAATAACAGGAAAAACAGTCGTTGTGGGTTTGTCTTTATAAGAAAGATATGCGTGAGCATGGATTTCCTTGATATTTCAGTCCAATAGTTTCATGTTTTATTCATTACCCCAGCAGACTGTATGCTTATATCTACTTAGTCCATTACGAATGTTTATTAAGGCAGAATACATTTGATTACATTTATTCTGTCGTATTTAAATAAATAATGCACGTTTTTAAGCTGTTTTTGTACATAACATTTGTGTTCAGTAAATCTTTTAAGACGTATGTTAAGGAATTGTTGCCACTCTTCTTTTACCATTCAGTTCATTTTACATAAAAGTAATCAGCTTTTCAATTTGGACTTAAGACTTTAGACAGGTCAAAACACTTTTTGACAAAAGGGATGTACCTGTTCAGGCCACCGGTTGAACACAAATAAATTTTTATCAAGTAAAGATTCACGCATAGAGAATTTCCACCACATCACTTCTACACATTGTCATGAATTTATCTGTACTGGAGACATTACAGACCTGTTCTACATGCTGGAAGTCACTATAGCTTTCAACGAGCCCCAACTTATAATGTTCATATCTATAACCAATATCTGGAACATAAATGGCTGAAGATGAAATGTTAGGTGCAAAATAAATAAAGGGTGGAAGCACAGATAAGACTTCAAACAAGTCAGAATAATTAACGTTCAGATCAATATTAATAGGCTTTGCTGCCACTGTGTAATTATAGTTCCATTAAAGTTTTATGGTCATTAATTAAAAGTGACTTTGGCATTGCTATCTAGGCCATGACCGCCTTCTCGTAAACAAGCCAATACTAATTAATAGAGAAGCTCACATGCAGGAAAAAAACTGAAGCAAATAGAAAGTCTGATATACGTCTCTTGATGCTTCTTTCAGGTTTAACTATGGATTAAAGTACACATGGAAAAAAAATGACTGAAATGAAGAAGGATAAGAGTTTCCATCAACGTTCAGTTCTGTAATAGAAGATTACATATTAAAGAGCAAGCAACTCTTTGTTTGCTCTAAAATCCGTTTCTGTGTTTTGAATTTTAAAAAGACTAACGGAGAGAAATATACATATTTTCACCCTTCAGTACCTGAGCCATTTTCATAACACCTCACACCAGTAGAGGTTCATGTGCCAGACTGTTCCTCAAACTTCATGATTATCCCTCCAAAAGTTTATCCTCCTTAAATAAATACTCACTTTACAACAAAAACATTTCTAGTGTTATGGTCTTGCTTTGCTTAATTAGGGACTCACAAAACCATGGTTTGACAAAAAAAAAGAGCAACAATCAGAACAGAGAACAGGATAATGAAGTATTTAAATGTTCTAATCCACAGTTAAACAAACAGAAAACACTTTACTGGAGTTTAGATTGGTCCGAGATAATGGCACTGTGGCACATTACAGATTTAATCACTCTTTTGTTTGTTTTTTACCAGATAAGAGTAGGTACGATCAATAGAGAATAGAACAAAAGTAGACTGTCCCACATTTATTCTGTCCTCTCTGCAAGTACATGAACGCAAGAATGAACTGACAGAGTGAAAGAAAGAGAAAAGAGTTTGGCTTGGAGGTGTAAAAAACCACAGCAAGAATGAGCCAGCAAAAGAGGAGAAAGCAAGCAGGGAAGAAACTGTGTGTGATAATCTTGTTGAGGAAGCAGGTTTACGTGCGCAGCACTGAATATTTTCTGTTGGGGGTGGGGGGAGGAGGATTTGGATTGGATTATCCAGGTTAATTGATGTGACCTCAGTCATCTGAGCTGCTCAACATGTGATGACAGGCCTAATTCAGAGTCCCTGCACCTGCACTGCAGTTCCAATTAATGAATTTATCACAGATTGAAAGTCTTAAAAGATTTCTAAGAAAAGCAGAAAGACAAATTTTGTGCCCTAAATAAAAAGGCAACAACTGATTTCATAAGATGTTTAAACAAAATACGAAAAAAAGTAAATCAACCTTTATTTATACAGGTAAATCCCATTGAGCCTCGAGGACTCATTTACAAGAGAGACCTGATTTCAACAAAGAAAGATGACAACAATGGACAACAACAACAACAATAAACAATTAAAAAAAGTCATACTGCAAGTTTTTTTTTATTTTTTTATTTTTTTTTAACAAATAGGATGGCTAAAAGGGAAAGGTAACAAAACAAACAAACAAACAAAAAACAGCTAGATTTCAAGACAAATGTAGAAAACTAAAAACAGGAACATGTCAGCATTGGACCCTGCCAGGTGTCCAACAGATTCTTAAAGCCACTTAGAGAGGTCAAGGTCGAGAGCTTCAAATCTTTTTGTAAGATATTCCAGGAAACAGGAGCGGAATAGGAGAAGGCCCTTTTGCCTAGTTCAGTCCTCATTGAGGGAACACTGCAGGTAATAATGTCCTGAGAGCGCACTCCGTAGCTGCACTCACGCAGAGACATGTAGGAGGAGATGTATGAAGGCAACAGACCAAGAAGTGATTTAAAGATGAAAATATGCCAGTAAATGGTCTAAAACACTTAAATGGTTTTGTTGTTTTCAATAGAAAAACCTCAGAGTCGTCGATTTTAATTGACATGATGTGAAGGGTAAGATCACTCTGCCCACGTGGAAATGTAACCCAGGGTGAGCCAACTTTCGACAAACAAGATAACTGTAATGGTGGAGGTAGTGAAGCTCACAGCGTTACCTGAGGCATTTCTGCCCTATCAGCCAACATTAACCCAAAGAATACAGGCAAAAACATTTTCAAAGATACTAATAACTCATAATAGTTACTGCAGTGGATGTTTTCATGCTGTAGAGCGACACGGCAAGAACTCACAGTGAAATCCAGTATGTACCGAGATTGTAAATTTCACATTACACAACCACTTTGTGGAAAATCAGTTTAGTTTTAACTGATCATAACAAACAAAGACTAAACTTATGCAACCAGAAGTTGAACCATATCTACATACAAAACACAAAACAAAGCACAACTAGCTTTAAGCATTAACCTTTAATTTAACCTTAAATCATACATAGTAATTATAACAAAAAATGGAAGATTTACTTGCAGTTACCTTCGTACTAACGAACATGCGGTAGTTCTCATTTATCCCTGTTGTATTCAGCTGTCCATGAGGTCAGCTGCCAGCCTTTATTCATCTTTTACATTTTTCCAAACTTCGTTTAGGTTTTGGAAATTTAATGAACTGTATTACATCCTCTATAAACACTCAGGGGAACACGTGTCTGAATTGTATGTTCCCCATTGACAATTTAACCATTGTTTCCGATGATTTTTCACAAAATCCCTATGACCACAAAGCGTTCGTAATGGGAAACCCCAACAATGTTGTCAGAGGGAAAGAGGGTGTAGCTCCTGCAGGTACGACTCAGGTCTCTCTTGTAAATGAGTCCCTGAGGCTCAATGGGATTAACCTGTCCAAATAAAGGTTGAATGGAAAAAAAAAAGAGGCGTTTCACTTCGGGACAAATTGCGATTGCCGTTTGGTCAGTTGCTGACAAGCCTACTGGACTGATTGACAGATATTTGGCATGAAGAGTGGTGACCAAAACATTATTTAAATTCATTTTTATTTTATTAACCGTTATTTAACCAGGCAAATTCCATTGATATCACAGACCTATTTTGAAAGGGAGGTCTGGGACTGAAGGCAACCTAACATGCATGTTTTTGGACTGTGGGAGGAAACCGGATAACCCGGCGAAAACCCCACACAAACACGAGAACATACAAACTCCACATAGAAAGTGTGGTCCATAGGGCCATCCGGGGATTGAGCCTAGGACTTTCTTGCTGTGAGTCAACAGTCCTAACTATTAAGCCATTGCGCTGCCCAAAATTAATAAATTCAAAATCATATTTGAAAATGATCAAAGGCCATGACAAATGCTGATGAAAAGTTGCAACAATAACTTAATATCTTTCTTTGCAGCTGAAGTGATAATATGAGATGAAAAACAACCACAAACCACTCAAAAATGTGAATGCCTCATCATTCAAATGCAGGTATGAAATCTAAGAAATGCTAATGTGTTACGCACCTGCCTCCAGATCCCAATACATGTATCACAATATACCACCAGAGACCGTGACAATCAATGGAACACAATGAGGCTGTTGCACTACAAGAGAGGGCTTAATCCTTTTGAATCTAAATCAAATTCCTCATTAAAATGTGTGATGAGAAGCAAACGTCAAAACAAGCAAACAAAACCCATGAGTACCAATGTTTACTGACAGATTATATTTCTCCACTCCAATACATGTGTAACTGATTGAAAAGCCTCTCAAATACTAGCTATGTTTACATGGACATAAGTAATCGGATCAAGCAGCCGTTCAGAATAAAAACACGTCATGTAAACACACTGTTCGGATTATTTTTGTTTATTCAGCGTGATCCGAAATAATTTGTGATCAGAACGAAACGGGTGGTTTACGCCAATTCATAGCCTGAACAGTGTCCATGTAAACGCATCATCTGTTCATTTTTTTCTGATGGTGAAAAACTGACCTGACTGTGCATGTGCGACTTTGTCATTTCCGCCTTTCTAATGCTAATAATATTAGCATGTCGGGGAAGAAAAACTGGTCGGTGAGCGACACATTTCTACTAGAAACTTTGAAAGAGCTCAAAATGATCTGTATTACCTGAAGCTCAGTCATGTCGCGGGTCCATTTTGGGTGCTCAGGTTTGTTTATGTTCATCCCGGAAGTAAACCAGAAGTAGAACTACTTCTTCTGTGTTTTTTTTTAAGGAGAGTTTACCACTCTGCGTATGTCAGTATTTATGTTCAGAACAAAGCCCGCTGCATGTAAACGCTCGTCATGAACAGATTGTGCCCATGTAAACAATACATTTGCATTATTTAATCTGAAAACATTTCAATCCGGTCAAAAAATTTTGTTCATGTAAACATAGCTACTGAAGGCCAAGAAAATTCAAGGGACTGGCTTGTCATCATCACAATTACATTCGTCAGAGTTGACTTGGATGAAACCAACAAGTAAATAACAGCTGTTAAATGCTTTCATGTCTTCACCATTCACATCCTCATACAGATAATATTTGTGCTCCACAGACTTTTAACTTCCTTACCACTTGGGCAGAAGTTCAAACAGTGATGCATTCAATGTGAATAAGTCACAACATAAATGCACCCTAGCTGCAATGGGAACTACAATTATGTGTTTTAATCCCTATGTTTCAGTCCACCATCCAGCTACACGGCACTCATCATGCTGCTTTAACAGAAAACTAGAAGCTGATAAGTAACCATTTAGTCCAGTTGTTTTAAACATCAACACAATGTAAAACCTTCTAAATCCTATGTGCATGTTTACATAAATATTGCTGGAATTAACTGGTGGGAACAAAAAATAAACAGAGTAATAAATTATTTTCTACTGGACACTTGGCAACAGTAACCAAACAATGTCTCACGTGTTCCCCTTATAGATCAGTGAACTAAGAACAAGAGGGCATTAGAGGTTAACCAAGGGACAATGGGGATGACAGGGTGAGGTTAAGTGGATCTTACTTTGCCTCCAGGGCCAGAGCGATGATGGCAGCTGCCATGGGAGCAGAAGCTGACGTCCCTGTGTGACTGTCTGTACACCGGTGTCTCAAATCTGTTGTGATCTGTAGGAGGCAGAGCAGGACAGGGTCAAAATACAGGGACAGAGGGATGCAATGAAAGTATGAAAGAATGAGTAGGGAGCCAGTAACTAACAGCAGGACTGAAGAGGGAAAATGACAGACAAACAAAGACTGGAGTCGTGAGGATCAGGCAGATTTAAACACACCTGAAACTTCTAAAACACACATTCCAGCTTTGATACGCTGCTGTGCAGGAGACCCAAACACAGCCACACAAACACACACGCACATCATTTTCTCCAAAGCTCCAGTTTACGTTAAAAAAACAAAACTAAATACTAAAAGGGCACAGTGTATTAGGCACTAAAAAGCGATAAAACAAGTTATTAAAGAGCTGTATATTTGCTTTGAGTGTATGGACTCTAATCAGCCATCAAGTCAGCCTGACAGTCAGCCAGCCAAGAAAAGCTTGGCTAACTTCCAGTCTGAACCCTCATCAAAGGACTTCCTCTGGACCGAAAAGTTTAAGGGATTATCTGGGGAAACACACACACATAAAATGTGTAACGGTTTTGTAAGACGTGAAAGTGATGTCAATAATAGTTCACAGGATACATCTGCTGACAGTAAGCCAAAATTATTATAAATGAAGAAGTACTACGGATGAGTACAAAAATGTAGATAAACTATGACATGAATGTTTGTATGTATGTGTGAGATATGTGGTCATGACTTCAATCGGTCATACTACTGACCCTATATCTTGCACACACCACACATGCACGTGCTCACACACACACACACACACAGAAATCCTTTAGACTTACAATCTTTCTGTCATAGTTCTCCCCGCTGCTGTAAGTGGTGGTCAGTGTGGACGAACATTCCTCCAGGTACCACGGTTTGCGTCCGCTCTCAGCTGTGCTGGAGATGGAGATGGTGTAGATGGAGTTGGTGTAGCCGTCACAGGAGCAGTGGTCTCTGCTGCGCCCGCCGTTACCTGAAGCCCAAACAAAGATGGAGCCACGGCCTTTTCTCCCCTAATGAGAAATAAATATGTCACATTATATTACACTTCTAAAGATTATTTTGTACTTATATTTCCTACCTATATTTTCTCTGACTTGACTTTTTTTTTATTTTACCTTTTTTAATGTCTACCAGAAGTAATGCAATCAATTTGGTATTTTATTGTGTTTGTGAGTTCAAGTTACTGTGTTTAAATTATGTTTACTAAACTGATGAGCAGCATATTCATGCAGGCATGTTTGATAAAAATCACTTAAAATGACCGCCTATCCAGACAGGTATAAATCTTTAAATTTAGCTTCCAGCACCTGTCTGCCCTCAGGAATTGAAAAGAAGAATGAAACTTTTTTTTCCCTGTATGGGTACTCAGTACCAGGTATTTTCTTATCAGTGCCTGTTTGGAATGTGTTTCAGTTTCCAACCTCAATCCTCAGCAGTCTGAAAAATATCCAGGAAACAAACAATGTAATTGGATTAAACATCAAAGTCCATGCTCAATAATCCAGGTAAAAAAAATCCAACAAAGTTAAGTCAGGTCCTCTGGATAGTTTCTTTTTGTTGAAACAAAACAAAAAGAAACCGTCCAGAGGACCTGCCTTAACTTTGGTGAGTAATTTGATTAAACTCCAGCAATCACAATAATTTAATAGATCACAGTGTAGTGGATCGTGGGTTGGTATTGTTCAGTTCCAAATTGTGTTAGTGAGGTTTTTTCTTTGCATTTTGACCTGAGGAAGTTTTAGTCTCTTTTCATGACACTGCAGAGGAGGAAAGGCTGAGATGAAATCTAAAGCCAGCTTATTAATGTCTTATTTTATACCTGCTTCAGATGTAACCTAAACAAATAATTTTCTCTAAATATTTTCAGAGAACAGGCATTGCATCAGATGGGATGGCTGACATTAGCTTTGACTATTATTAGACATTATCTGTTGTAAAACTAAGAGTTAAACATCTCAGTTGTGTGTTAGGTATTTGGCTTTTGGGGGGGCTTGAACAGTGCATTTAAAATATTGTTTAAAATTGTTTTGAGTTGCATTTTTACTTCTGCCTTTTGTAAAACTTTATTATACATTATACAAGACCATTTAGATTTATTCATATCATGATAGTTTTCCATATTTTTTTCTATATATATATATATATATATATATATATATATATATATATATATATATATATATATATATTTAATTTTTTTTAAACTGTTAATAATTGTTTGATCATGCAATCAGGTGCATGTCTTGTAGTTTTATTTAGTGTTCATTTAAGAATAACTTCATGTTTAATATGTAGGTTTATAAATGGAAGCTAATAAAATTTATAAGACAATATTGTTCAAAACAGATAATTGTTGTGCATGTTTTTCAGAACATATGTGAAGAGCACTTACATAAAAACAGTTTTGATTTAACCTGCGGATTAGTCTCAGTTTCTCGATGTGCAGTTCAATTAAAAACAATTTCTTAGGAACTAATTTAAGATGACCTAAACACAGGATCACCAGAATGGTTGTGACTGATTTCCGAAGGGCAAGGTCAGCTAGAAGTCAGTAAAAAAAAACAAAAAACAAACAAAAAAAGACAATCTGAAGGACACTGAAATTCACACCCTTTTGTCAAAGCACACAGACGCACACATACAAGCCAATAAAAGGTACGATGGAGTTTTTCAATAAAAAGGCTCCTGTCAGGCAGCGATAAGCGCTTGAAGTCCCTCTGAGTGAGAGGAGGTTCAGTCAGGAGCAAACACTGGCAGATGAGTGATGAAGAGTGCGTTTAAAACCAGCTAACGGCAAAAAGAAGGAACAATAAGGAGGGACAAGAATGAAAAGGACAAAAGAGATGCAGTTCAGAAGTAAACCAAGACAAAAAACACTGTCAAGAGATCAAAATAGAGCAAACAAAATGCTTGTTACTGTGCAAATGATTCACCAATTTAAAAAAAAAAAAATTTAAGTGTTTAAAGTGTTAGGTTAATGTTTTTAAAATATCTGTCTTCTGTTTCAAATATACGTATATACTGAAACTGTTCATTTATCAACTACTGAGACAAACAAAGACAAATACAAACTCTTCTCATGTAAAAACATTGCACACACCAGGAAAAGCTTGTTTAGATCAAATACACAGCAAATCAGGACAGAGTGCAACTTTACAGCTGTCAGTCTTACCTTTAACACCTCAGCTGTCAAACTGTCACTTAGGTCCACTTTACACCAACAAGCACGCCATCTTCACTAAACATCACTAACACGCACAAACACAGCAGCACGAGCACATGCACTAGGTGCCAAGCACATACTGGTACTCACACCAGCTGGACAGATATCTTCCTCACCTCTGTCATCTTTAAAGACAAACCTGTCGGCAACTAGAGGAACTCTTCTCCTCACACTCACTACCTCTGAGTTTCTTTCCCTTTAAGTATTTTGTTCTCAGCCTTCCAGATTTTAGACATTTTGTCCTCCAATGACCACTGATTTAATTCCCCTGAGATCTACAACTTATTCACCAACTGAGAGCTGGATGTAGCAAACAATGAGAAGAATGTGGAGATTTATGTTCGTGAGATGTAACCAGAAAATGACTTTAACCCATATTGACCTCTGTTAGCTTCTAGTTTTACTTCCTGATTGCTTTGCAGTTCCAACATTGTCATTTGAGAAAATAGGACATAAATATGTAAATGAATAAATAACAGAGCAGCAATATTCTCCCATGTTTAAGAGCTTCACATGTAGGAAAAAGAACAGATAAATCTGATTAAGAATACACTGACTTAAAACACACATCTGCTTCAATTGGGTGTTTATGTATTTTGTTCCAACTACTGTAAATGCTAAAATCAGTATTTGGCTTTGTTTTTGACGTTTCTGTATGTAAATTTGCACGTGATCATGTGCCCACCGAGCGGATGCCGTTCTCAAAGGCCTGCCTGGCCAAAGATGCTGGTCCATCCACAGTTTTTCCATCATCATCGGGTCCCCAGCTGGCACTGTAGATGTCAATGTGCTGCTGGCTCAGACTCAGAGACTTGGCCTCAACCATATCGGTCACATCTCCATCCAGCATTCGCACACCTGAAGTGAGGGGAGGGGGAGAGAGGCAGGCACATACCAATATTATATGTATCGTCCATGTTTTCAATAAAACATGCTGACAAGTTTTCAAAGGATTCCTTTTCTACCTACATAATAAGTGAAAGAACTGCAACTGACTGCAGACTGTTTTAGCATTAATTTACCATTTCAGTAGCCTAACAAGCAGTCAATAATAAACAAATAATAGAATGTAAAGATTAAAGCACTAACGAGCATGAGTTTCTGTTACGAAGGAATAAAATGATCTAGTTAATTGTTAAATGAGAATACTACAAATCACTTACCCCCTATTCTGGCATTGTAGGCAATTCCCACGATGCAGTGGGAGTTGTTTGCAGATGCAGCAACTTCACCTGCACATCGTGTGCCATGCCTGAGAAAAGAGCAAGAAAGAACTGCTTCTCATGACAACTGTAAACACACCTACATAATGTATCTGAGAAAGTCACACACAACAAAAAATAACTACATTTGTAAACCAGCAGAAGTGCTTACACAAACTTTAACTTATTGTGCAGCACTTTGGCTACCCTTGTGGTTTTTTTAAATGTGCTATATAAATAAAGTTGATTGATTGATTTAACATAAATGTGCTGCTTGTGTGTACAATTAATGCAAAAAAGGTGCACAGATGTTTTTAGTAAGTTTACAGAAAATATATATAGTATATTGAAAAGTTACAAAATAAAATATCCCTTTAAGTAAAAAGGTAAACTTATTTTAAAAAGCTTTGTTTTGGTTTTGGTAGTTCTGGAAAAACAAAAAGCCATTGGTGATAAACTTTGGTTGTTCCACAATTGCACAAACACAAAAACACAGGGGGTCCAGTTTTGATTCTTTGTAAGAGGCGACTCCACTAACACTCACAAAAAGGATAGCAATAGCTTAAACAATGTCTAATTTAGTTAATGTGTCGGACTTCTCCAATTTTACACCACAGGGTAACATTCCACCAGTAACTGCAGTGGTGACAATCGGCCCACCCGGGTCACGCTACGTTTGTGTCGGCTGCCTCCTTAAAAAACGCCACTTTTCAGAACTGCACAACCACAAACACACACATTTCCTGTAGAGAACATCTGCTACACAACCCCCCAAAACATCTCTGACCGCTTCCATGGAAACCCAGCATCTAGAGGCAGCATCCCCCCCCCCCACCCCAGTAATGACAAGGGAAGTTACTGAGTCCAGAGAAGCAACTGAACTATATAAATCACATTGCTGTGTCACAACGTGAATACAATAGATTTAGATTACATAATGATAACATTTGCTTTCTACTATTATGAAAATAAGTACAAAAAAGTAAGAATTTTACACAATTTAATCAACTAATCCAATCAAATAATTTCAAACATTACAGTGTTCAATTTTCTTCTGCTCTAGTTTAAAGCAAAAAACAAAAAAACATATTTTAATACACATGACATTCATCACTACGTCTGGGGATTTTTTATTTTATTTTTTTACTGTAATCATTTATAAAAATGTATGCCTTTCCTGCCTGTTTTGTTTACAAACCAATTTCAACTCTATCTTTGCACAGCTGGGCAACAAACAGAAATGAGAAAATCTGTCAGAAATAAATGCAACTGAATCAGTTTTCTATAATAAGATGCAAAGTACAGAAATAAACTGCATGCCAGACACCGACAGCCTTTGACAAATCTAAATTACATCTTAGAAAATAAAACTTAATAAAAATAACTAGAGAATGATTCAAATGAGTCCCCGAGGCGCAATGGGATTAACCTGTCTAAATAAAGGTTGAATGAAAAAAAATTAAAAAGTAGACCGGTGATTTTCTGTTTTTTGTGAAGCTAACAGATAGGGATGATGGCATAACAAACATTTTTGTTCAAAGGTGTTCAATTTAAACAAGTACATGTATTTGAACAACTAATGAGCAATGGACAGAAATCCAAAGATGATTTCTTTAATGGTTTGCCACTATTTCAAAAAGTCAGAGTAAAAAAAAAGACACGGTGAAGGGGTAGAGACAGCAAGAATAATCTCAGTCAACAAAGTCTATAATAACTAATCTAAACGTAAAAAATAAAATAAACTTGTGCAAAACATTAAAAACATCAAGCTAATTTGGAGTCAGCTGTACAGGATTCAGCTCTTACTAAACGCTTCACACAGAAACATGTATTGTTTGTTTTTCCCGTAGGGGAAAAAAAAAGTTCACATTGATGATGTGAGACAGTTTTGCTGCCTCTGGTACCTAATCTATATATATCAAATAAATAAATAAGTCAGAAGATTATCAAAGCATTACTGAACATCATGCCAGAAAACTAGAGCTGGGGAAAAAGTCGTGGGACTTTCAGAAAGACTGCATGTACAGACAAACTGGTGAAAGCAAGGAGGATCAGCCTTTTTTTATTTATCTAAATCACACTAAAACCCATTGGAGAGACACAGCATTGCTATTCCTTTGGAGGTTCTGGCATATCAGAATGGGCATTTTTCTCAGCAGATATTTTGACTTGAACAATCAGAGATGCAATAACAACTGCACCGTTTCACTATTGCACCTCTGCAAACCAGCTGATTTGCAAAACGTGCACACAAGCCAAACTTTCTCTGAGTGGAGCGCAGCTCTTGTTAACTCATGCGCGCTCATCCTGCTGCTTTAATGCACATTTTCTAAAGGTGGAGGAAGCTTCTAGATGGATTTAGAAAACTTTGTGTTGTCAAACATTTGAATGAAAACAGTTTTTTCTGTGTAATTTTTTTTTTATAGACGTTTCAAGGGGAACATAAATATTTGCTATCGCATTCTTGCTTTTCGTTCCACTTTCAACTAAAAACAACAGGAGGACTGATGTCCAGAGAGATCAGAAAATTATCCAGAAAGTTTACATTTGAGCTAAAGTCTAATTCCTTTTCAGCTGAACAATACTTTCAACCAAACGTTGTTTTCTAATGACTCTCCCGAAATGTGGATGTGTTCAAAAATACATGCAGTACTTAAATACACAATACTCATCTGCTACTTTTATTATGGTAAATAAAAGCAATTTCCACACCATACTTTCTGCATCATGTCTTGCTTCTTGTGAGCTCTAGACTAATGCTTCAACACACGACGTCCCTTAAATTTTTCCAGCTGTGAAAGCACTTCTCCAGCAGAAAATCTCCAGTTGTGAAGTGCATGTGTGAACAGCAACTGAGGAAAACGTCTGGACCCAATTGTATGCACTTTCATCTAAATGTATCCCGTGCTTATAGGTGTAAGTTGCTTATATAACAGGTTATGGTACAATGTGTTTGCATTATTTCATTTCTTCGCCAGTTGTTTCTCTTCCCTCTGTACTTTTTAAGCCCAATCTCACTGACCAGGACTGCAAATGATTAGTAAAAAAAAGTGTGGAAAGTATTCTCATACTCTAAAGTGAATATTCATGCCTCTAGAAAAGTTATATGTTCCTCTAATCAAGATATTTTGTGAGGGTTGAAGTATACCATTAAAAAGTTATATTTCAGTAACAACCCTTTTTTAAGCACCACTTTTAAGCCAAGCTGTTGGCTCCCTCTTTAAAATTGCCTCAACAGCCTCTGATTCGCACACATCACGGCAGTAATCCATAAAATTGTCTGTCTAGCAATCTTTCCAGTCCCAAGTGTTTGCCTGCATTTTCCATTTTCTTCACATCTGTGTCACAGTCACTCATGAATCTCTCCACTCACCCAAAACCATCTCCAACACTTGTGCGTTGGACAAAAGAGGGAAAATGCATAACTTATGTTCAATTTTCTGTTGTGTGCATAAAATTTGTTTGCTTTTAGTAAATCCGACATGATCATTTCATATGTTATGACGTAAATTTACATTTCTTATGTATCTAGCAGTTGGATTTCTGGAAAACATAAATGAGAAAGTCTATTAGGTCTTACACCAAGGTACTGTAGAATATCTAGAACCAAGTGAGTTAATGCTTAAAAACAAGACAGCATCTGAATGTCTCTGTGCCAGAAAAGCGAACTGACAGAAGATGATAGTGGAAAATCTACTTGAAATGAGCGCCTCTAAGTTTTAATGTTTATTTCTATTTTGGGGACTTTGGGGATTTTTGGATAGTTGTAGTTCAGCAGACTTTTTTCAGCTTTGGGACATCTGACTTGGACAAAAGAGATATTTTTGTAACCTGGTTGTTTGGGAAGTTTACTGAGCTACATCTGTGGGTCTCATGTTTCTCCAAGACGTTGCATCACGAGCAGGGACTCAGCCAGGCCTCGACACCCCATACTGCAGCCAAACACACACACTCTCAATAATCACTCGCCAAGGTAACAAAGAGTTTTTCCCCACTTCTTTTTATTTATTATTTTACAAACAAACCCACACATTCAAAAGCAAAACATATAACTTAATTAATTAAAAATAAAAAAACAGCCTGCCCACAAATCAAGTTCACTGATGCAACTCCTCACACTGAAAACAAACAAGATGGAGTTTCCTTCGCTTATTTATTCATGAAAGCTGTTTTACAAGTTAAGTTAGCATTTTTCTAAAACTACATTTTGGTGAGAAGATTATTTTCTTACTTGTTCTCATTGGTTGCGTCGTATCGCGGCATGGGATCTGCATCGTTGCTGTTGACATCAAAACTTGCTTGGGGGTCCTGAAAGAGACACCAAGGAGAAAATCAAGAATATGAAACTTCAAATTGACTTCTAAATAAAAATCAGAGAAGAAATGTCAAGCTAGCGCTATAATTCATGAGAAAGGGAGGTCTAATATTGTTGTGTACCTATGCAGAAGAGATTAATAGATCATCAAAATGATTCTGTAACCCAATCTAACAGATGACATTAGCACTTACAACAGTTTTGTCAATTGAATTAAATCAGAGCTCATCCAGTCTGCCAAGAATTTTACCCTTTGGCATAAACACATCCCAACATTAAGAGTAACTAATAACTACAGCATCAAAAAGCAAATCATTTCTATCTGCACCGCTGACTGATCATTGACCTGCAGCTTCAGACCAAGATGTTACTCTGAATATTTGGACTTGGACAGAGCGGTACTAAAAACATGTAACCGCAGACAAACGCGTACATGTTTGCACTCTTTACCTTTCCGTCGACAGATAAGCGACATTGGATTATAATTAATTTTCATCTTAATATTACTTGGGCTGGAACAGGAATGAGAAGTAATTCTTTTTGAGACCGGATTCTCTTTTAACTTTTCAAACCTGCAAACCATTTTAATTACTCTTTAGACCAGTATGTACAGATTTTTACACGAAGGATAAAAGAGGAAACAACAACTTAATTTATTTGTGAACATTTGATCCTGATCACTGTCACAAACATGAGCAGACATTTACAGTACATTGGAAGTCACATCTGTATAGTACATTGCAAACGTCACGCACTGAAGACACCCAAAATAAATGCACACTGCTGCTCATTGTCACTTTACATGCGCATACATACACACTCACGTAGTTCTGTAAAAGGTCAGGGTGGTTCCTCTCAATGCCGTCATCAAGTATGGTCACCACCACGTCTTTTCCCGTGTATCCCCTCTTCCACGCCCCCATGATGTTCATGTCTGACTGGCAATTATGGACATCATCGTTACAGTGCTGAAGAGGTGAAAGCAGATTGTAAAGAGTAGAGCAGGTTAAAAAAGGGGAGAAAGACATGAGTTGGAAGTTTTAAACATACACACATTTAAAGGTTAAGAGCATACCAACATGACTTTGATTTGAATTTACAGCCAAGCTTGAGCATAATCATTGCACAATGTAACAAACTAGTTCAAACAAGTTCGTGTCAGGCCTGTTCAAAGAATTTTTCGTAAAATCCCACAGAAACTCATTCAACCATGACTTGATCACTCGTTCATTTAAATATTTTTTTCCCTCAAGCCCACTGTGTTTTACTTGTTTGGATTAAATTATATTTACAATTTAAATAAGGAATTTACAGGAGTTGTGAAATCGTGACATTACTTGGCCAAAACTCATGACTGCCTGATTTCAACTACCGGTAATATAAGGTATCAAAGAACAGTTACTGTAAGAAACGTCAAAACAAATATTGTTGAAAATTATAGCAGCAAAAATATGTGATAAAATAAACATTTACACTTGAAGATTCTGAGAAATGCCATCAATAACTGGCAGTCAATGATCTTAACAGCATGCCTGAAACTTCATAGTACATCGTGTACAGGACCTTAGTAGAAGTATACAGTGTACCGTGTACATGACCTTAGTAAAAGTACACAGTATAGTGTTCTCTAATGAAGCACTCTCAGGACTGGTTTAACAACTTTTCTGTAGTTTACTTTTATGTCATTTCAGTGTTTTCAATGGAGGGGCTGTCAGACAGAATTTAATAAATTATATTTATATCACAGGAGCAGAATATTAGCAGAGTATAAATTACCTTAAACAATTTTTGAATTTGATTTTGGATTGGAAAAAAAAAAGAGAAACTTAAATTTGTATGCCTATTTTATGACTGTCTATTGTTGTCGTTGTTATTTCACTGTTGTCATCATTCTTTGTTCAGAAATCAGGTCTCTTGTAACTGAGTCCCCGAGGCTCAATGGGATTAACCTGTATACATAAAGGTTGAATTAATTAATTTTACTTAGTTTTTTATTTGCTTGACTAACAGATTTCGATGATGATGATGATGATGCTCCGAACACATTAACTTTTAACACAAAGTTAAACTTTAAATACAACAATCCTGGTGAGGTCGGGGCACGGTGAGCCTCTAAAACTGAGGTTCTGGTTCTCTTTTTTTGTTCAAAGCAGCTTCTATTTAATCTCTGTATCATTAATAGATTGGATGGCTTTAAAAAGACCACAACAATACACACACCCCCAGTGTCATTTCTAGGAGCATAGAGAACTTAAATCCATGTCTATTGATTGGTTGAAACGACAAGATGAGATCTGGTTGTCCGAGACGAAAAAAGTTTGTCTCAGACAAACGGAAACCGCCTATGTCAACCCGTTTAAATGTTCATTTATTTTTATGAACTAATGTGTCTCAGATTTTACCTTAATAGTTTTGATTTTTTTTTTAGGTTTTTTTTTTTTTTTTTTTTGGGGGGGGGGGGAATTGAATAAAAAGATTCTTAAGGGTAACAAAATAAAATTTTAATTAGTTAAGCTTGTGTAAATGTCTAAATGTATTAAAAAATATTAAAATAAGGGCCCATATCTATTCTAATCTACATATATAAAATCTTAATGACAAATAAACCAGTCTTACTCTCTTTAAAATGCCATTTTGTTATACGATACAAATTATTGCCATGACTTTATTAGCCCCATCTTACACAGTGTGACACATGTAATAAAATTACATGATTGCTGCTGCTGCACAGCTTAACGACACCTTAAATCTAAGCTGGCAGTCCAGTATTTCTCACAGCAAATGGTACTGGAGGGAATCGTGTGCCAAAGCTTTTATTTGTTTTCATGCCATGGTAACATTCAGACACATAATATAGTTTATTTACTACTCTACTGCCAAGAAGTTTCACTTTGTAAGTTTTGACGGTATCGTATCACGATGAAAATAAATGTTTTTGTTTAAGTTTCATATTTAGATGGACACAAAATTACGCAATCTGTCAAACAGGAAGTGTGTCTCTATAGTGTTTGGACTTTATGAACTTTAACTTTATTGGAAATTAGTGAAAGTATTGTTCCTAATAAACCTAAAAACATACACAGAAAGTTTAGAAAGTTGTATTTTTCAGATAGAAAAAAAAAATCCTCTGGTCAAAGTATTAGGAATTATCTACATTACGTTAACAATTGACAGAGCTGAGGACGTTCAACCACATGTGTACACACATGCATGCGCACACACACGTGCACACACACACACAAATAAATGTAAAAGAGCAAAGATCTGAGTGTGTATGCAAACAGCTGTGACATGCTCACAAATATCGCCAGTACAAATCTGACCCTATCTTGTCCCTTTTTAAACTTGGGGACAAATTTCATAACATTGGTTCTTTTACTTTGAAATAAAAAACATAAAGTCCTTCAGCTCCACCAACGCAGCTGTAATCTTGACCAGGCCATGACCTTGGACACACAAACTGGAAATAAATTGGCAGCATGAGAACTGTGAGCGGTTACAGTGTACTTACAATGTACCACATACTGCTCCACTTGGCGTCATTGTAGAATATGTTGTTCTGAGCCATGCTGCTGTGGGCGGGGCTTGTCTGGGAAAGAGGTGGGGCTGATTTGTAATCCCTCTTGATCCTCCGTTTGACCACCTGCTGTTCTATCCACTCCACCTGAAACAAGCACACACAGTCATGACATGAGTAAGCAAAAACATGATTTCAATCACTCAGCAGAGACATTAATGCTCAGATAACCCATCTAAGACTCAGAATTTTTTATTTATTAAACTCTATAAAATTTGATGTTTAATTTTTGAAAGGAGGTTCATATAACTTAACTTTGTTTATGTGCTTCAAAAAACCCTGCACAAAAGACATTCTATGTCAAAACAATAACTGTAGTTAGCACACTCTTATAGTCAGTGAGTAAATGCAGATAAATTCTTACAAAGTTTCTTAAAATTACTATATTTTTGTTACGCCTGAGTCGTTGGATCAAACAAAACTTTAAGCTGCTATAATTTTTGTTATTCTTTTTTCAGCTCTTCCCTTCTTCAGGTGTCGCCACAGCAAACTAACTCGCATGAAGACTTGGCAATTGTTTTTACACCTGATGTCCTTCCTGACACAACCACAGACCACTGAGCTACCACAGCCCTCTGTGTGGAGCAGAGAGCTGCCATCTGGGGCACTCGGGGGAGCAGACGGTGGGGGTTAAGGGACTTGTTCAAGGACCCAGTTTGGCAAATGAGGGTGGAGGCAGGTGTGGGTGTCTCACTTTTCCCACCCACATTTTGACGTTGTTGGTCGGGGGAGTTGAACAGACCACCTTCAGATCACAGGCCAAAAATACAAGTGCTTGATGATTTTCAACTTTAGAATTAATTTAAAACAATGTAAGGCATCACTTTGTGGTCTCATTTAAAATGCAATCAAATGTCTAAATATATATAAATAACAAGCAACGCAGAATGCATAAAGTTTTACTGGAAAGAGCACCACAACTTTCTTAATTTAGTATAAAAAGTATTTTTGTCATTTTAATCTTTCTGGCAGCACAGGAAACTTGTCAGTTCTTTCTCCCAGCCTCCACTGAGAACATCTAAAGAAACATGCATTTTTATATACTGTTACTGTATGCACTAAAAACGCAAAAGTCTTCCAGGTAACATCACTCTCCCAAATGTTCTGGGCTTCCTTCAAGATATTCCTTGGCAAAATCTCACTCTGGTTCAGAAAAAAATTTCCGATTTCAAAATCAGCACTGCTGGATGTGAAGAGGACAGCTGGACCTGCTTGCTAGGCTCGTAAACTCTTTTTCAACTTTCCGTCTGTTTAGTCTAGCAGACTTCATCTGTCTAAAGTCTATCAAACATTTTACACGCACATAAACTGACATATACACAGACAGCATAGAATGAAGAGAAAAGCAACATGAGTTGCTAAACTTTCAGATAAACCACAAATACATTTTAGAATGAGTAAAAACAGAAAAAAGGTTTCAGTTCAAATAAAACCCAGACCCATACTGAATTGTGTTTTTTATTTAATGTATGCAAAGTTGTTGATTTGAAGGTATTTAGAAAATATCCTATTAGTGCAAAATTATTTCATACCTGTAAAGCTGTTATCTTTGCCTTCTTTTTGGTGGTGTGGGGTTGCACTTATAAAACTAATGAAATTATTTCTGAGACCTTCTGCTAATAAAAACAAACATTTTAAAGACGGGGCCAAAAGGATGGCCCAGCACAGAAGAGCAACATCTGCAGGCCAGCGGTCACTCTTTCAGGGATGAAGATGTGCACATTCTTGATAGAGAGGAATGCTGGTTTGAGAGGAGTAAGAGGCCATCTTTGTGAAGAGAACCTGTCCATTGTTAAACAGGGGCGGGAGTCTCCGTGTTCAACCATCACCCTCTTAATATGCTGTTATTGCGGATATCACACTCAGCCCTTTGTGAATAACAAGTGGCCATCAGGACACTAATGACCATGGTCCTTCTTTTACATGTGAACAACTAGTTTTTCAACCTTTATTTATGCAGGTTAGTCTCACTCTGTCACGACGACTCATTTACAAGACAGAGCTTTGGCTGTCAGCAGCAAACTGGTTGATCCACTGTGAGAAGGTGCCGTTTATAGACGGATTATTTGTTTATCAACACGGCGGCTGCGCGCGCAGCCTGACTGCAGAACGAGCCGGTGTCTTGTGCGAAATTCTGTTCCCCTTTATCGAGAGGGCGCACAGAGGCGTCCATCTTCACAGCTCTTCTGACAGATTTCTTGGTATTAAAAACAATAAATACACTCAATGTCTTGGTGGCTGACTGATATTTGTCAGGCTAAAGTGAACATGACAAGCTGTCCTGATGCATGCTCAATAATCCAGGTAGGAAAATCTAAAAAAGTTAAATCTGGTCCTCTGGACATTCAAAAAAACAAAACAAAGCAAAACAACAAAAAATGTAGAAACGTTTTGTCTCTCATCCGAGAGACTTCCTCAGTCTGAGGTGCTGTTTTCAGCTCAGTCTCTTAAATAGCACCTTCTCAGAGTGGATCAACCAGTTTTGCTGCTGACAACCAAAACCAGCTGATCACATGCTCAAGAAGGACCATCAGCCTAAAGACTCGACAACAAAACAAGTTTAACTTACTAATAACTCATCAACACCAGCACTATTCCAATAACAACACATTCAGTGTAGGACAACACTCCAGTAGTCAATTACATGTCAGGGAGACAGATAATCCGTCTATAAGAATGAGTTTGTTGCAGCGCCACAGACAGAAGAAGTCTTTTGGATAAAAGACGAAACGTTTCAGCAAAGAAGAATTTGTCCAGAGGACCTGACTCAACCTTGTTAGATTTTTAAAGACAGAATTTAAGTTTTAGGTTCTTGCCTAGATGACTAAAAAAAACAACACTGGTTCATCCTTGCGTTTAGGTTTTTCCATGACTGAATGATGACATGCTTGTTTTGAGAGTGATGGAGTGTGTATGTGGTTGCATTTAAAGAAAAAGTCAGATGCACAGACAATACTCAGTTAGCAAAAGGCAACTATTGTTCAAATAAAAACTTTTTAAAACGCTTTATAAAACCTACATGACTACTGAATAAAACAACATAAATACAAGGTTTGGCTACTTTAAAGCTAAATCTAGCATAGCAGTGCTTTAAGACTTTTTGTACAATACATTTTCTTCAAGTTTGCACTTCTATAAGTAACCATTTGTCTTCAAATGTGATGTGGTGTTAGTTCAACAAAAATCCTCTGAGATGCTCACATCATCTTGTGTAAGCTAGAAATTTTAGGTTGTACACATCAAATGCAGAGAAAAACTACACATAACAGATAATCAATAAAACAATTTTAGCCCTGCAAAATGTTTTTGCGTTGTTGCTCACTGTCAGAAATGCCAAAATCTGAGATTTCTAAGATATGAAACACTGTTCTTGTGTAAATGTAAAGCATTTTTCCACGTCAATATAGTGAGGAGAGAAGAGGAAAAAGAAAGGAAAGAGGCTGACAAGATGACTGGAGAATGATTATCTGGTCCCGTGCACGAAACAATCTGTCGGGATCTCCGGAGAGTAGGAGCGGAGGGCAACAAGACAAGATGAGATGAGAAGAAGAAAAGGCGATAAAGAGCTGAAGAGAAAGAGTCTCAGGAGAGTCAATAAAAGAAAACCGAGCTTGAAGAGGCAAGTGAAAACAAATGGCAAGAGAGACCAAAAACTAGCAAGAGAAGAGAAGATAATTGATTTTATAAACAGCATTGGTTTCTTAAATATATTGTTTTTTCTTGACTGTGCAGAAGGCAGAAAAAACAATCACATAAAGTGAAGTAATTATTAATTGCACTGACATTTTAATGTAATACTGCAAGGAGTAAAAACCTGCTTTTTTGTACGGTCTCAGTTCATTTCAATCCAACCTCATCAGAATCACCAATTAAAACAAATGCATCACTCTCCATTAGACTCAAAACAACCATTTCATCAGGAACCGTTTGCGTCATTAAAATTAGCAAACATCAGTTTTACCTTTACCACAATCGCTCTTTTAAAATAATCCTATCCGAGTGCCTTTGATGAGAAAATTGCTACAAAAACAATTTAATTTACTCAATGGAATGGATTGGATTCTGTCTACTACAAAATAAATTCTGCAATTTTGCTGGACGATTCTTTCAAAATACAAAATATTGTATTATGAATGCGAAACAATTTATTTCCTCTGGTAAAAAAAAAAGGTGAAAATGACCTCATATTTGATTAAAAGGCATGTAGAGCCGCAGATGAATTTACATAGATCTGTGGGCTCCTTTCCTATTACTTATTTATTCATTGACTTCTGAGGACTAACGTTAGCTAAACAAACTGATCTTTAATACAAAAAGAAAGATTTAAAAAGTAACTTTGGGGGTTTAGAGAGTATTTAGAAGATCTGACATAAAAAATATTTTTTCACACTATATGTTCTGTAGATTTGACCCAGATTTATTTTTTGATGAAGAGGGTCAGTGTTCTCTACACACGTGACAGTGGATTCTGGGGTGATCTGATCGGCTTCCAGTTATGGCACTATACTGCATCTTAGTTTGGGTATTGGACTTAGTTATGTCAAAACAGATGCAGTATTTGATCTTCCTTTGGTCTATCATTTTGTTACAAAACCTATAAACCATGCTTTATATTTGTTTTAAAAAGTACCAAAGTACAACCCATTTAGTTTTGGTTAATATTTAGTAAATAAACATTTCTTTCCAACTTTGCAGTGATTGTGCGTTTATGTTTTTGAAGCTATTGTGTCTTCACAGCTGATGGTGTGTATTACTAACCTTTGTTTGTGTGCCAGTTCTCGCTCTGAAGCGTGACAATCTATTCATTTCAATTAACTACAGTTTGATGGAGCAGTGGATGCTCTGCTAGCACCTGTACCTCTTTGTGAGCCACCTTTTCAGCCTTCTTTTTCCAATCAGATTCCCAGCATTATTTCACTTCTTCACTTTCCTCATCTCTGTCTCTGACTACCACTCTCTCAGTGTCTTTTTATGCTCTTCTTATTCACAGAAAGCTGGCTGGTCTCTCTCCCTCATTTCTTACTCCATCCCAATCCTCCCTCTCCCCTGCTCTCATTTGCTGTCTGTGTAAGGGTTTGCAGGTGGTG